AGTCATCTATGTTCCCTCTTGGAATGATTCAAAATTGCTTCATGTTCCGAGTTCCGAGAATGTACCATCATTTTCCCATATGTTCCATCATTTTACAGAATGGTTCATCATTTTCCCATGTGTTCCCCATCTTTTTTGTAGGCTTCCCCAACTCCTGAAAGCCGCCCTGGGGCACATCTGAGCTCTTGTTGAGCTCCCAAGCTCCGATCGACTTCTCTCCCTTCCGACCATCAGACCTTCGCGATTGGATGGAATCCCAGTGACCTTAACTGAACAATGCTTAACATGTAGCATACATGTAGCATGGCTTTACAATTTCTAGTGGGTATAAAAATATCATTATAGCTATTGGCGTTTGCTACGTTTTATCCATAAACTGGGGTTGAGACAAAATATAATGGAATATAATCAACCCCCCTGTGGAGTCATGTGGAGTCAAGTGCACGTGGTGGTCCTGAAGCGGGCGAATCAGGCCACTTTGGGCATCTCAAAGGAGCGGAGTTTCCGCTTGAAGTTGCTTGGTTGCTCGAACAAGAACATGTTAGAGACATCCAGCAAAAGCGAGCAAGAACTGATGTATTGCATGCCGAAAACGTACTCGTACTAAAATCACCTTGTCAGACCAGGTCAGTTTCCCACCCAATTGAAGCACGAAGGGCTCATCTATGTTCACATTAAAAATGTTGCACAACTTTCCTGTCCAAGGTGCGGCTTCAACTGCTCCGCAGCTGAGTGCAGCCGTACTGACCTGGGTTTGGGGGTTGGTTCGGATCAAAATAGCCTCTGGTAAACTGTCCCATAACTATGGAAAATCACCATTTTGTAATGGGTAAATCAACTATTTCTATGGCCATTTTCAATAGCTATGTTAGTTTACCAGAGGGTAATTATGGAAAATGGATGAAAATGGCCCAGTGATAGATGATTTACCGTGATTTACCTACTAAACATGGTGATTTTCCCATATTTTTCACATGGTGAACATAGCATCATCGTTGCTGACCCATGGCATCCATGGCGTCGGATGTCCTTTGCCAAAGATCCCGGACACAAACTTCGAGCCAGCGAGGCTGGTGGGAAGATCCACTTCGGAAAGGATGCAGAACCTGCCCCGTTGGGGCGGCAACATGGGGATCTCATGGGGATGTCATGGGGATGTCATGGGGATGTCATGGGGATGTCATGGGATATTTTCAGGGTATATCAATGGAATTCAATGGGTCATTTATATTGATATAGTAATTGAATGGTAATATCCCATTTATATATAAATATTATTAAATATTATATTCTATATTATAATGGTAATATATAAGCCCCAACTTTTTTTACTTTTTTCCCCACTCCTTTTTGCTGCCCGTCAGTGTTCATGGGTTAAGGTGGCAGCCGGCTGGGGCCCCACTTCGACCGAAAACAGGGAAAACTATGCGACCAATATCGTCACAGGAACGGCTTTTCTTTCGGAGGCCGGCCTGGAGACCCCAATAAACGTGATTCTTGGATTGCAGGCACTTCATGTCGTCGGATTTTTGCTTTGGCTTCTAAGGCAAGAAGCGAACACACTGCTTCCCAGCCATTCTCATTATCATCAGCTCTGCTGCACTTAAAAGAAACACCATTGCCAGGTGAACTAGGTGGCAATAGGCGAAAAGTCACTGCTAGCCGGTGATCGTGACAGTGATCGATTCTGTTTGTTGACCATGGTTGACATCATCTGTTCCTCCCAGACTTCCCACAACACCAATCCATCAGCATTCTACATCAGAAACCGCCAGGGCAGCCAGGGGCGATTTTGAAGGAACGATGGCCTCATGAGGGCCTCGGTATGGGACAATCTAAGTAGGTAAATCATCTATAAATGGGCCATTTTCATCCATTTTCCATAATTACCCTCTGGTAAACTAACATAGCTATTGAAAATGGCCATAGAAATAGTTGATTTACCCATTACAAAATGGTGATTTTCATTGATTTTCCATAGTTATGGGACAGTTTACCAGAGGTTATATCCCATTAAATCCCATTAAACCACCATTTTCCTATGGTTTTCCTATGGTATGTTAGTTTATTCGAGGGTAACATCCAACCAATCCAACCCAGCACCGTTTTGTCGCCTCTTGGCTCTGCCTCCGCGGTCGGAGGTCCACAGGTTGGTGGTAAGCCGTAACGCTGCTTAAGGCTACACCCAAAACATCCCAAAAGCCTCAAAAAACATGGCAAAACATCAGGAAACCCTTATGAAAAGCATAAATGCGAAAAACCTAAACCCTGAAATCATATGAAATCATAAACTTCATAAGAGTGATGTTGGGCGAAGCAGTGGATAGGCAATCCCTCTGAGGTAATGCGGTACTCAAAAGTGGTTCCCAAAATGGCCTCCAAGCCCGCGCAGAGCGCGTGAACAGCCCAAGGCAGTCGTCAACATGGCAAGATGGTTGCAGTTAGAAATGATGATGTTCTATGGCATCATAGTGCTGGTGATGTGGAAATTTCTTCGAACATCAAAATAAGCGATGGCTTCTTTGGGAAGATTGGACACACACACAATATAACACGTTAACTGATCCTTAGTTGAAAAATCCAAAGGGCGATGCATGTTGGTGCGTCGCATGACTGCCTTTGCTGTTTGCAAACAGGGTCCCGTGTCAGGCAGCCTACTTCTGTCTGAACTACAGGTACCGCTTTGATCCGCTTTGTACTTTTGAAGTTGCACATGTCACTATATGAACCCATATGTTTCCACATGGCAGGTTCATCAATGGCTTTTCCTTTTGGGCATCCTCTGAAAGCCTTCCAGCTGCAAATAGCATCGATTTACCAAAGTAACATAAAGTACCCTCTGGTAAACTAACATAGCTATTGAAAATGGCCATAGAAATAGTGGATTTTCCCATTAAAAATGGTGATTTTCCATAGTTATGGGACAGTTTACCAGAGGGTAACCCCAATTTTTACCCCCAGGTTTTGGGTATCAGCCCATTTCTGTGGCTTTCAAGGTTCAGGACATGGGGACCTAAGCCATGCCACATTTTCCACATTTTAACGGCGCCTCCTTGGAAAGGCCTTGGCGTTGCAACAGTGTGACTTGGTGGGTTGGACTTGTGTAGAACGGTGTGGGGTACCACTTTTCTTGGACAATCTCAGGAAATGTGGGATATGTGATGGGAATTGATGGGATATGTCTGATATGTCAGCTTTTTGTTTCACTGAACCATTTTGGATATTTTGGATCGTCTATTCCTAGGGAACGTTGGAACTATCCGTAACTATCCTATCGCTCAGGACTGCGCCAAAGCCATGCAATGCCCCGAAAAAATGCCAGCAGAATGACGGCCTAGGCGGTTTCCACGCATGGCGATGGAAAAAACATGTTTGCGAAAGCACCAGGTTACCATAGGATACCATATGTTCCCTGTTTAAAAAATTAATTGAAAGCGTGGTTTTCGATTGGTAGGCTGGATTTCCGAGATGTGCCTAGACAGTCATGTTTTCAGTGCAGGTTGAAGAACCCCATGCCTTGCCGAAGCCCACGCGAAGGGCCTTGCTCAAAAATCGAATCCGGGAAGAGTAGGTTTCATTCAATCAACATTCGGAGAGCGCAAACCCAGGAATTCAGGATTATAGTGCTTCCACCTTTGTCATTTTTCCCAGTTATTTCATATATTATTTCGTGTTATGTCTCCAATGTCCATATTCTCTTAAACAAGTCCAGCATGTCATAAAGTCTCGGGGCTTGAAGACCGCTGTGCCTTTGGTTTCACTTTGTGAAACCGAGCCATGGCTGTAGCGGCCCCCGCTTGGTTTTCAAGGATACGTGCTCGACTCAGGAATCATGAGGCCAACACATGTTTGTCTGCATTTTAGACGTCTGCAAATTGGGGGTTGATGAACAACTACTTCACCCCACCCAAGTTGGTCACTTTTTTGGACTGATGGTCAAGTACTAAATGAGGGAGTGCACCTGACAGCTTTCTACAGCACTTGTCTGTTGTGCCATGCTTTACCCCCTGACAAGGCATGTCGGGCGTGACTTTTCCACCCCTGAGGTGCCACGATAGGACTCTTCAAGCTGAAAATTCAGAGGTAGCGAGAAGCAAAAGTGACACCAGCCGTGCCAATAGCAGCGCCAGCTGGTTGATGATTATTGGCATGACTATTGGCATGATTAAATCACGATTATTGATGATTTTTGATGCATGTTGAAGGTTGCCTGCTGCCCCTTTTTGCACCACAAAATCCATCCCCATGCAGTTTTTGCCGCAAAGACACGCGCCCTTGCCGATGTTAGCTGCACTGCTAACTAATGCTAACTACCAAAGATGCGACTCAGAAACGGCCTGAAGCTGCAGTCTCTAGTTTGGCTGGAAAATGTCTGGTGCCGTCAACGGGTTGAACAAAATGTCCCAGGCGTCATGGTGTCAAATCAAAGCATTCTCTGGTGGCTTGAAATAAGGTTGTTTTTCGTTTGGCTCCAGCAGCCTCAAAGAATAAATAAAGAAATTGTCAGTTGGGATTCCAAATCATCCTCGCCCATGGTGGCAAGTCGCAAGCCAGTTCACCCTTTTCCACACCTCGCTAATGGAGTCATCTCGGTTCCCACGTTGGGGACTATTCTGGGAAGTGGGCCGCCCACATGTCTCTATGGAACTCCTGTATGGTGTTCAGAGTGGCTCTCACCATTGGAGACTTCTATGATTTACCTCAAGTCCTCCAAAATCAACGTGACATTGAACTAGGATTCAAACTTGTCTCTGTCCTGCTTCATCATTCTCTTGTCATGCATGTTTGTGCCAACAATTCCAACGATATCCCAGGATACATCAAAACATCTTCCTGCTTGCTCTAACCAGGCTGGCTAAAACACACACATCGGAAAAATCACCTGTTCGCGTCATCTATAAATTGCCAGTTTCATAATTATTAGGATTTTCTATGGATTTCGATGGATTTCTATGGTTTTCCCATTCCCTGGTGAGATTTCCACCTTGCCGCGACTGCCCTCAGCCGCCCTTCTGGAAGACCTTGTGAGTCAGGGCCACCTCTGGCGTTGGCCGCTGCGAGGCATTGGCTTGGAGACCTAGGCCGAGGCCGAGGTCGGGGGGAACCAAGCCCTGGATGTCGATTTGAAGGGATCCCCACTTTGAGAATCTCCAGTTGATGTATCTACATTGAAAAACTCTATTTTTCTCAAATTTACATAATAATAATATAGTAATAATAATACAGTAATAATAATAATAATGCCTGGAGCCCCTCCAGGAAACCCTTTCTTATCCCTGATCTTAATTGTTTGCTTTTTGGCTCGTTTGGCCAAAGTCACGTCCCTACATGGTATTTCACTTACATACGTATCCTTGAACGTACATAATATAGATATACATCTCTCTCTCTCTCTAAATCGGTGCAACTGAATTTATATATATATATATTGATAAATGATGACAAATGCATACACTGAATGATATATATAATTATAATACATGTGTGTGTGGTATTTTTCAAATTGCATACAAATTATGATAATGCCATAAATTATCTGGCATTGGTGTATCATGCATGCGTTTGCAGCATGACGTGTCTTCACAGCCATCTTCAGGGTAAACAGGCAAATCCTTCCCACTGCAGCCTCAAGTCGCACCTCGGCATAAAAAGTCCCACAGATTCTGCACCATACCTATGCAAAATCCAGCGGTAGGGGCACCCCTTTATCACTGTGACAAATGGAAATGATTCCGAAAGCCAAAGGACCACATTCTGTGGTTCCTAGTTCAGTTTGACGGTTGACCCCTGACCCATGCCATAGCTAACCCCCATCATTCCGATGTGGTATGGCCCATGGCCTTTGTGTCGACTTTCCGTCACTCCCTTGGGAGGTTCCCGCAAGGACTCCTGAGACAGGCCGCATGAAAGTCAGCCCTGCTGGGACGATTCACCCCAACTTGAATGCCATGAGGTTGCTGGGTAATCACTATCGTAGTCACTTGACCCAGTTACCAATATAATCCAATATATAATAAATAGTTACATAACTATTATGACTATTATCATTGACATAAATCCAAGATACTCCAATTACTGAGGAGCAAAACCTCGGCTATTATAGCCATGTGCACGCATGCGCTGGCTTATTCGCAAAGCTACTAATGCGGTAACCATCCCCAATTACATGTTCATTCTTGGGCATACGGCATAATATGGCATAATCACCTTTATTATTTGGGATGATGGTTTACATGACCGCCAAGTGGTGGTTTACAGTAATCCATATGTTCTACTGGTCTTTTTTGCATAGCATAGCATAGCTATGTAGCTCACAAACTCCGACCATCTGCAGATTCCTCCAACAAAAACTGCAGGGGTCTGGGAGGCGGGTCGAAGGACTCCAAGGGACGCACCTCAGCCGAGCAACGCCGAGCATCGCCGAGCGCTCCGCTGGTGATGAAACCATCAAGGTATATCAAGGTGGAGCGACACAAAAGCGATGGTTGTTTAATTGGTTTATAAACCACATTAAAAAACATAGAATTTATAAAAACATAGAATTTCATAGACTATAGTGACTATAGCTGTCTAGGAGGGGCACTTTAAAGTTTTCGAGCGTTGTATGCCAGGGTGCATCTTTAAAAGTCTGCCTGCAAAATGGCCAATTTCCCTGCAAGAGTTGTAAGAAAAGGTCTGGAGACGGATCTCTTTTCAGTGTGGCAAGGTTCGCTGCCACTGCAGGATTTGGCCAATTATCAATTCTTTGTCTTGCTGTTGCTGTCTATTTATTGCGTATCTCCATTGGGTCTACTTATGTTGAGACCACCCTAAACGGCGTATCAGGGTGGTAGCATCTCAAGAATACAAATTTGGCAGATGCGTTTTTTGCCAACCAAACGGTGTTTTTCCCAAGTGAAAGGCAATTTGTTCATCTTTTTTCCCCACGGCCACTTTGGGCTAATTTGGGAGATTGACACTATGGAACAATTGTTTGTTTTTGAGCTGATGTTTGGCTCTCGGCAACATCGTACTTTTAAAATACATAATATTTGTTTTTCCTACCATGGACTTTTTTGGGGGTCCGGACCTTTTGAGTGCCATTCGACAAACAAGTGATCTTCCGGAATAAAGTTCAGTTTGACAGGCAATATTCAAATTCAACTGTGTGGGTACACTCCTGAAACAAACAAACACCGGAGCGACTTAACTATTAATGGTGAACACAATTTCCATACTGGTTTTGTTTCTTCAATTTATATGAATCCTTTTTGTTACCTTTGTACTAATGCCACCTTTCCTTTTGAATCACAAGCTTCCAGTGGCACAACGACAATGCGTTTCCATCAAGGCACCCGGGGATTGGCGGAGTTGATGGCAACATCACCTATCCGATAGCGAACAAAACCCATCGCCTTGCAGGTACGTTGAACGATAGTCATCCTTAAATTAGATTTTACCCTCTGGTAATTTAACGTAGCTATTGAAAATGGCCATAGAAATAGTGGATTTACCATGATTTACCCATGAAAAATGGTGATTTTCTATAGCTACGTTAGTTTACCAGAGGGTAATTGAAATGACATGTCACCATAATTCACCTGATCGTCCCATAATGTGGTTACAACAAAGCCGCGCCCGGCAACCGCCGCCTTTCGCATTCAGAAAATCACCATTGGCTCCAAAATGCTTCAGCGAAAATTGGCCCGTCAGCACCAACGCCAACCTCAGAGTATTCTCAAAGTCACATCAGCGAAGACTTCAAGACATCCGGGCACATCCCAACAGTTTTAAGATATTTCATTGAGTTGATTATATAGTTTACTTACCTTTGAAAGTTCTGTCAATATATGTCAATTAATATAAAGTTCTCTTAACAACAAACCAAGCCCATGACACTCATCACACAGCCCAACGATATCCAAACAACAAACATCAACCAACCAATATCAACCAATCGAACAGCTGGAAGCCAAGACACGGAAAGGGACCACAGACCTTCATCATCTCCAATAGCATCTCGTTGTTGGTCTCCCCCTGGTCCAGGAAACGAAGCAAAAAACGGCAGCCGAAACATGTTTTGGGAAACATCAAAAACTGTACCATTATACAGTTGCCTTTGCAAGTTTAGTGGACCATTATGACCACTCTTAATCTTCTTTTAACACCTAAGCAGTGTGTGTATCATGGCCCCCCGGCGGATCCTTGCCTTAAAAAGAACTTGATCGGTCGCCAGCTCAAAGATGGTCGCAGCCGCACTCCACATGTCCACTGCGAAGCCGTACTCCTCCAGCCGTGCCAGGGAAAATGACCAACGGTCAACGAGTGGTTGTTGTTGTTTGAAAACTTGGGTCTGATGGAAGAAACTGACAACACCTTAAACCTAAAATCGCATGATGTTTTTAAAATCATCCAAAATTTCCATGGATCCAATTGAAACCATCCCCCCAAGAAAAACATGTGAGCAGAAATGCAACTATCATATTCCAAGCCATTTGCTCAGCCTGGCCCAGGATGATCTCCTTAGCTGTTCAATGATTGCCGGCTTCATCATGGATCTGAAACTTGGAAAATAATGATTTTAAATGCCAAAAAATGTAGATCAATTTGTCAATGGGAAACTTATTAGCGATGTCTGTGGAAAAACATCTGTGGATATTTATGAATATCTAAATGTCTATGCAAAAACAACATATGATAAATTATGATAATATATTACATAATGGATCTGATCTGGAAAAACATCTCTGGATATCAATGGTGGGTTTCCATATGTTCCATTAACAAAGGGTAAACCGAAAGGTAACGATTTGGACGGCTACTGTCTTGGAAGTGCAATCCTTTTCTTGGATGCATGTACTGCATCAATGAAAGGATTTATAATTAATTCAAATCCCCAGTCCCGGTCTTATCAGAAAAGGATCTGCATGGAATGTTTGCTAATGTCTTGAGACGCAAGGTACCAAATGATCGCTGCCATTTTTTGTATCCAAATATTCAAGGCTAAGCAACATATATGCACATATCACGTTTGATCTCTTTGATGATCGATCCATCCATCATCCATCCGTCCATCCAATTCCATGTGTCCCAATTAACTAATCAATCCACCTATCATTCAATCCAATCTCTCCAATCCATCTGATCTAAACTAATACAAACTAAACTAAACTATCTACCCATCTAACTATCTAACCAGTTAAAAATCCGTCGGCCAGTAGCTTATCACCAGGATTCCGACCGCAACAAATCCCTTTGTGCAACTCAGCGACGGGTGCGCGGTAGTTTCGGGGCATCAGCTGATCCTGGGCCATGAGGCTATTGGTAAACTGGGTGGTGGTTTCACCCCATCACAACAATCATATATTTATATTATATACCTACAAAGAGAAGGAGGAACTTGAAGCACATTTATATGATATAAAGAATGTATAATGAGTGTAATAGGTTAACACTTCTCAAAAAAACACCTCCAATTGATGTAGATCCTGCCATGAGTCGGGGTTGGAAGACTGCTATTCTCGGTGTCAATGATACTTGCAGGGGATAGCAATGGATAGATGGATAGATAGATGGATGGATGGATAGATAGGTGGGTAGGTCGGTAGATAGGTAGAGAGGTAGAGAGGTAGACAGGTAAATAAGTAGATAGGTAGATAGGTAGTTAGGTGGATAGGTGGGTAAGTGGATAGGTGGATAGGTGGATAGGTGGATAGGTGGATAGGTAGATAGGTAGATATGTGGATAGGTAGAGATAGGTAGAGACAAATAGAGATGATAGGTAGAGATGGTAGGTAGAGATAGGTAGAGATAGGTAGAAATAGGTAGCTAGGTAGGTAGGGTGATAGGTAGGTAGGTTAGGTTGGGTAGGTTGGGTAGGTTGGATAGATAGGAAAGGAGAGATGAGATTAGATAGATAGGATAGGTATGTAGATGCTTACATTAGGAGCTCGGATTACGTTTCCACAAAATGAAAAATATCTGGCTTCAGTAAATAGCTAGACTCTAGATCATTAAAGTAAGTTGGGATCGTCCAGTCATCCAAGCAACCATGATTTGAGATGAGTGTTGGTCAATAGATCAGTGGAGCGCCCAGATTTGGGGATGTGACCAACAACAGCCACCGCAGGAAACAGGTCGGGGTGCCGAGATGATGTTCATCTGTTCATCAGTTATAATTATTATATAAAGGTAAGCCAGATGGGCCGAACATAGGCAAACAGGTCGATGAACTATATGGGGATATATAATGTAAACCTCAGTGAGTTGCAATCCCTAGGGTTCAGCGGACAACCTGCGACAATGTTTGGTGCTAGATAAAGAATGATAAAAAAATATTTATGCAACTGTATATGTATATAAAATTGTATAAACATGCATCAACAAATGATCAAAATATATCAAGAAAGGACGGACACAACTAAAAGAAAAACATCATTTGCATTTTTCAAGACCCATCATGATGCTTACCTGCAAAGCCACCAACCCACGTGCCCCTTGGATTGGATGGTCGCCCGGATGTCCCGAGATGTCCCGAGTAGTTTCTGGCACGTCCGTCCGTCTCTCTTAGTGTGTGCATTTTTGTGCCCTGGACGGATTGGACGGAATTCCATGCCAACCGGCCTGCAAACACAAATATCTACCCTGACAACATCCAAAAACATTGCCACAATATGCCACAATATGTGGAAGCCAAGGAAGCACCGTTAAACAAATGCAAACTCATCTTCGACTGCGAAGCTTTCACCACCGAACTCTGGATCGCCCCAGGTAACAAGAGATCCATCTTCCAGGCAGCGAAGGCGCCAGCCGTGGCCTGGACCTGGTGCACACCTCTTAGCTGGTCTTGGACTTTGGAGCTGTCACCACCATAGGGTGGGTTGCCCCATGTAACCACAGAGCCATCTGCTAGAACGGCGTGTCAGGTCCACCAGGGCATGCCCCTGGGAAGTGACAAGTTTCAAGAAGCCTTTTCCAAACGCCTTTTGGGCCAAGATCTTCAAATCCCCACATCTTTTCCTCTTTCCGCAATGCGACATATATTTGAAGCATGCCTTCACGTTCACTCAAGTTACAATGGGTATATTCTCTCCCAAAACCAAACCAAATCCCGACGGTGATGCACAGGATACCAGGCAACGAATCAAGAAAGATGTGACGACTTATATATACTATATACAATATATATATACTGTACTATATACAATATTCAGACCCGCCAAGTACCTATGAAAATTATTGAAAATTGTTAACTGCAAATAATAGGTACATTATATTGCCCATGTTCAAGATCTTTGATTAATTTCGACTTAATTTCCCTGTTCAATTTGCACAAACATCATTGAACTTCAGGTAGACCGGGCCAGTGAACCTACGCTCCTACAAAAAAAGGCATCAACACCATGCAAACATATGCTCCGACATATACTGTATGTTGATGTATGTTGTCCGCTAACATATACTTTGACATGATATTCTATACCCTCTGGTAATTTAACATAGCTATTGAAAATGGCCATTTATATAGTGAGTTTTCCCATTAAAAATGGTGATTTTCCACAGCTATGTTAGTTTATCAGAGGGTACTGTATGTATCGCCAAACCAATGAGAAGTAGCACTGCAAGTCCTTCCAACCGAAGCAAGCCACTGATAGCAACCGATCCGCTGGGCCATGGCAACTGCCAAAGTCGCAAAGTTTGATCGAAGCGTTGTCCTAGCGCATCACTGGGCGAGGCCGCCCATGGAACACCTAGATATCAAGATTGAACATATTATAACATATTAAACCTCCTAAACTTCACATTGTCCTATCATGTCCTATCATGTCCTATCCCGAAATTTGAAAATATTATTTGAAGATATTTGAAGAAGTCTGAAGATGCTTACCTTGCTCATCCTTGCTCTATTTCACCATTTGAATTTGGGTGCTGTGATAGAATACCATTGGGCACACCGTACGACATACTTAGATGGGCCATGGAGTTAGTTGACTGGTCTGTAAATGGGCTAGCTATGACTAGCTCACCCATGAACTATACCCAGCATATCATATTCCATCCCCTACTATCAAATACCTTCCATATGGCACCCCAAAATCGGATTATAAGCCACTTACTGGCCAGTTACTTACCTTCTATGGCCGACGGGAAAGCCGGGGCTCTGGCGCCAGCAGCAGATTTTCCGGTTTCACATCGCAGTGGATCAACTGGGCTCGACGGAGCAGACGCAGGGCCAACAGCAGTTGCCGTGCGAAGTCGCGCACGGTGGGCAGTAGTGGTAGACCTTTGCCAGCCTGGGCAGATGAATGGATGATGGATGGGATAAAACCATATAAAACCCGCCTAGATGGATGAAATCAAACTTGGCAATCTTTTTTGAAACGCATCCAGGCAACAGGGCAACATGGAGAAAACTTGGAAAACATGCCGTTAGAAAAAAATGAAAAACCCTGGACCAACAAAAAGAACAACAAAAATGGGATGATCTCCGAGGGGCGGCTTGACCCGTCCAACCACTTATTTTTCAACATGTTGCAGAAAGTTGTATGAAACCACCACAGTAATTGATGGCTTATAGCATTACATTATCGCGATGATGGCTGCGTCTGTATATATATACACATACATACGTCTGCAAGCATATCAGAAATCTCTCCAAGAAATATGTGAACACTTCCAGTCCACCATATTTACAGCTGACATCTCCCCATAAGATCAGTTCTATCATGTTCTACCCTCTGGTAATTTAACATAGCTATAGAAAATAGCCCATTTATAGTGGATTTTCCCATGAAAAATGGTGACTTTCCATAGTTATGTTAGTTTACCAGAGGGTATCCAATTCCATCCCAGCACCAGATCTCAGTCGTCACGTCACCCCATACTTCGCCAGCGCCGTGCGGAGGTTGCATTTCATCAGCTCGAAGGTCGCAGCCAAACGGCCCTGATGGAGGAAGGTTTCGAAGAAGGCCAAGCAAAGGATGCAGCGCATGCCTTCCGGATCCTGAGCTGTGGATGGTCACGGATTTTGCCAAGTTAAGATATTGGATCAACGGTGGGGCCACCCATCTCATCCAGGATATCCAGGGGGAGTGATTCTAAGATATTCTAAGATTCTATTCCAAGTGTATGAAGTATATTATATTATATTTTTGTAAATATAGGTACAATCCAATGAGAATCAGACTGGTGGATGGGCCATGTTGGGCTACCCACTGATGCTTTCAAGGCTTAACCAGTTTCAAACCATGATTTTGGGGGAGATACCAGATCCTCTTTCCTCATACTTGGGGATGGGTTGATTCCGATGATTCTTATCTTTGATGACCTTGAAAAATAGGTCAGGTTTATATACTTCCCCATGTCCCATGGCCAAAACACAATCTGAACTACCCAACGGATGTTGACTCAGTTTGCCACAGAAATCCGGGAATGTACAAGGGGTCTAAGCCTAAGCATTAATCGTGGGTTAAATGAGCCCATATGAGCCCTATTCGCTGGTGCTTGAGACCCTGGCTCAGCGGTGTTCGAGTGTGGGAGGATAGTCAGGGTAGTCACCGTGGTGCAGTGGCTGGTACAAACAGACTCCATATATCTTGGGGATAGGAGCCCCAGTTCGCCCATAATGAGTCTGCTGCTGGCACCATCCCCAGCAACTTTTCCCAGATTTGGATGCACACAGACCCCAGTGGTCACTGGGATGGTGCAAATGGCATTGTTTTTCCCACTTTAAACATCATAAAACCACCATTTAACTATGGAAAATCACCCATCTTCATCGGTCAATCATGAACTCTCAACGGCAATGTTCCATAGATTTCCATAGCAAACTTCCAAGTATCCTGTGGCGCCACTTTGGTGATCAACTGGCTCATGATCTTCACCTCTCGTTCCAGTGCCCGTCTCGTCGTCTCATTGGACCGGGTGAACTTCACCGCGTAGCGCGGCGCCGGCGACTCGTTCGACGGGGAATGGTCGGCGTCGCGGCAGCGGAAGACCGTGGAAAAGGTGCCTTCCCCAAGGGCCTCTTCCTGGGATGCCGTGGAAACACAGGCAGTTCACCAGGTAGAAAAATGAAAATTGTAGCGACCTTCCTCCAAAACTGGATATATAATGATCAATAGGGATATATTAATGATAATGATGATGATTCAACGAGATCATAATGAGGATTCAATCAAACAATCATGGACAACAATTGGAGTTAAACATTGACATATACACAAGAAACAAGTTGCATTTGTAGCAACCCCCGGGAAAAATATAAAAGCCAGTTACCAGTAGTTTAGTAGGACTCTATTGATATATATATATATATAATGTATACATTATATATATATATACACATACTGTATATATATATATATCTTTTTGGGGTTGCTACAACCAGTGTATAAAGACTTGTAGAAAACATGCGGGTTTACCAAGAAAGGATGGGGACTAATCATGTATCTAGTACAGAGAAGGGGTCCCTGCTTGGATGTGAATCCCGGTTAGACCACAGGGACGTAATCCAGTCACAAGGGAACAAATGAAGAACTAGAGGGGACTCAAAATCCATCTTTTTAAAGAAATGACTGATTGGTGGCTTCAACACCCCTGAAACAAATATATTATAGGTATCATTGGGGATCATCATCCCAAATGTACTTCGAAAACAAACCCACATCTAAACCACCAGCCGATCCCAGGTCCCAGCCCAGCTTCGATGACGAAGCGGTTGGAGGGGCCACAAAGGTCCCCAGGAGATACGCTGAAGTGGTCCAGGTCTGCCTCGAAGGCGTCCAGTTCCGAAAGGACCTACGGGGGCCCAGAAACATCCAGAAACGTTGCGAGGAGCTGCAGCGATGTAACAGGTGCACCACAACTGTTCTAGATTTGCAAATATCAGCCAGTTATCTATGCGTGTATGTATGTATATATGTCTAAATATGTCTATCTATGTGTATATCCGTATATAGTTATTTTTTACTTGTTGATACTGTTTAGTCTTTCATGGACTTTCAATGACTTTCATGTGAATTATTTGATGAAGCGAAAACCGTGCACCAGAGATCTCCTTAAGGTGCCTGTGATTCCTCGAGGTCCAGCAGTCGCAAATTCTCGGCCTTCAGGTCCTTCATGGCGCCGCTGACTTTCACACGCCAGCGAGAGGAGTCTGGAACGAAGGATTCCTGGGGCCAACCAGAAACCCAGGAGATCCCAGGATTCCGCCGGATCCAGGATCCAGGATACCAACATTGGGAGGGTGGAGCCAACAGAAATTTGTGACATGGAAGAGTCTTGACGAAAATTGACGTGTGATTTGTTTCCTTTTACTGATGTACTGCCAGAATCATCATGAATCATCTGTCTTTCAATTGCTAAAGCATGCTAAAGCAAACAGTTGCATGTAATTCCACGCGCAAAATGTACAGTGCAAAGAGTGCATCTTTACGTTCCTAAAGGCAATCCCAACGAATCCCACCAAGAAAGAGCCACCAAGCTTTCAGAAATCCAGAAACGTCCAGAAGCCCGTCCCAATGTCCCAAGATGTCCCAAGCTTCGATCTCTCCTTTCTGCTCATTCAACTCAGGCGCAGATTTCAAGCCATGAAGAATCACCAGAGATCCGACTTTCAACACCTTGGGTGGCGGTTTTGCCACCTCTGGCTTCACTTCCTCATCCTTGAAGGCGGCCTGCCAAGCTGAAAATGTTCAGCTCGGCTCAAGGATTGGAAAAAAAAACCTATGGAAAACCCATCGAAGTCTCAAACTGATTGAACTCGATATCAATAATACAATTAAGTACATAAACACACTGTCGGCCCTGGTGCCTTTGGGGAGATCCAAACCTCACATCTTCGGGCCTGCACTGGGGCTGCAGTTTCCAGCTGCTTCGGTCCAACCCAATCTGCTGGGGGTGGACGATCCGCGGCTTCTTCCAATTGCAGGTTCTCAGCCTGGCGCCGGTCATGGCTGGTGCAGGGCAGTTGTCTTGGAAAGTTGGCTTTCCATGGTGACATGAATTGAACTGAGTTGCCTGAGTTGGCTACTGTTGTCCCGGAAATGATAGCTCCCCACTTCAAACTACAAAAACAATATATATAATATATATATATATTGTTTTGGAGATGGGTTTTCGGAGTCTTGACATTCTTGTTTCGCATTGAATTCCAGGGGCACCTTCATCTAGTTCCAGCTATTTCAAAGGAAAAAAGGGACATTCAAACGTGCTTCATCCCCTTCTTCATCCCCTTCTTCATCCCCTTCTTCATCCCCTTCTTCATCCCCTTCACATCCCATTTAAATAATTGAAATGAGGATGCACCAATGGCTATAGTATAGATAATTATACATAATTAATCATAATATTTATATATATATATATAACTATAACTATCACTATAGAGATATATAACATGCATATACAGCAATTAATCTTATCACCCCAGGCCACGCAGGCTATCCATGAGCCAACCAGGCCTTGAAGTCATGGGATTTTCCGCTGCTCAGCAGCCTGACGCGCCAGCGCTGCCGCTGCGGCACGTAGTCCTCGACCACACCCAGCTGGCCGTTGCGTTGCACATGGAGCGCCTTCAGCCGTACTTTGCAGCCAGGGTGCAGCTCCTCGAGCCATGGTCAAAGGTCTGCCGTATCAAACAAAATTGGTGGAAACGATAGACTGGGGTGGAGAGATTCTTGAAAGGTATATCGAGAATATGTTGAAGATGATCTTGAACAACTGAAGTGGAGATCACTGTAGACTCACTGTAATTAGATTCCTTTCAGTTGATGTGGAGGTTTGAAAAATCCATAGAACAGGGCTCAGGTCCTTCTTCAAGAGTCCCCAGGACAGCTGTCTAGGGGAACGACTTCCATCACGCATGGAGCCCATGTGATTCTGAGTTGGTCTTGTAGAGATTGTTGCAGTTGGGGTGCTCAATTCATCCCAAATGTTTCTGCTCATCCCGCGGTACCAGTTTTCATCGGGCACTGTGGAACAGCGTGGAGCGTTTTGATTCTTGGGGAATGCTAGCGGTCGAATCATTCAGAGCTAATCTCATTACTCAAACAACTATATTCAGTAAGTATCTTCAGCAACTATATAATTTTTGAATATTCTATCTGCTGGTTACTTAATATAGCTATTGCTATCCGTTTCTCCAATGTGTTCCCAATTGTGAAAAGCTCATCTGGAAATCCGTGCCAGGGTCGTCTCAAAGCTGGAAATGGCGGCGGTCATCGGCCAGTAAGTCTCCTTCCCCGGTTTTGGAGATAAGCGAACAAAATCAAGCAAACATTACCATTCGCCAATCTCTCAACTGACTTTTCATGGTTGATGGCCTACCTGGCCTAATAAACCCCTAGGTTGTTTGATTGGGAGGGTTCCATTTGAGTATCAGATTATCGCTATTGAAAACCATGGTTCAAATTACAGTAGATCAACCATTGCCATGTGCCCCACTGAGGGCCTCTACTTGGACCCCAAGGCAACCAGCTCGCAATCGAAGAGCAGGGTGGCATTCGGAGGGATTGGCCCTGCCGAAAGCGGGAGGCTGGAAACCTGCAAGTTGTAACATCTTAAGCTGTTAATCGCTGTTAATCCCTGTTAATGTGGGTTAAACAATGTTATAAACAACCCATTTGGGAATGGTAAAAATACCACCTATCAAAATGCTGAAATGCTGATGACTGGAGCATTTATGGCATTGTTTTTCCCACATTACATCTGGATCCATCGTTCTCACCTCAGGCCTGTCACGGAAAAAACCCGGCCTACTCCCCGGGCTCCGTAGCCCAGCTTTGAGGGGATCTTGAGCTGCCTCGTGGCGCCACAACTGGGGAAACCCGAGCTGTTCGTGTGTAGATTCTATATGATCTATACATCATAAACACACATCTATGTACATATAGGAATACATGTGTATACATGTATATGTCTGTATATATATATATATGGATATATGTATATATGATTTATGTATTGTTATTATTGTTTGAAACTGTTTGTTTGCATTTATGTATGCATCTACAATCTACCTTTGTATACAATTTATTCACTTATTTTACACGTATATGTCCACATTTTATCTATATTTATATACCTTATCATACCTTATCTGTTTAAAATTTCAAACTTTATACTCATAGTTGCCACAATGGTTTTGAAAATGAATATATCTTCAGAATGCATTTGCATTGGGCGCATGGTTGTAGCCAGCTAGGCCCCAGGAATTTTAAAGTCAATTGGGATTAGCATCCCACTTTGAGGGATCATGTTGCTACTGGCGATCCCTTTAGGGCGAGAGAGATAGATAAAACAGAATCACAAATATTAAATCATTGAAGATCATTGAAGACCCCTCCTCTCGCTTCTTCTTTTGGGGGGTGACTTATGGGCGACTTCTTTTGGGATTTGTCACATAACCCAAAAAAAAACTCTGGGGCCACCAGTACCAACCTCTGTAAATGGCCACTTCAAAGTTATCATTGCAACCAACGATCAATGATGAGCCCCAATCAGTTCCGTTTGTGCTGCCGCATCAACCTGATAGATGCGGACAAACACTGATAATCTGATAGATATATAAATCACATTACCCTCTGGTTATGTAACATACCTATGGAAAATCGTCCATTTATTGATTATTTACGATGCTCTATTTGCCTATTGAACATGATGGTGTTCCAAAGCTGCGTTCAAATACCACCACAAGGTAACATACCCTCTGGTAAACTAACATAGCTATGGAAAATCACCATTTTTTATGGGTAAATCCACTATTTCTATGGTCATTTTCAATAGCTACGTTAAATTACCAGAGGGTAACACTCGAAAAAATACATCGTTGCAGCCCAAGACACCGTTTGCCGCCCACGCGCATCGTTAGAATGCCCTCGTCCCATCCAGCGATCACTTGTCCAGTGCCCACGGCAAACTCCAATGGATCGCCTGTGGTGGGGCCCCCAAGATAGCTAAGTTGCCTTATAAGTGGCTTTATGGTAGATATAACTATAGTTAATAGGGGTTATAATAGTTTATAAACCCACTTATAACTGGGGGGCCCCATCCTGTAGATGATTACACCATCGCAAGGAACCTCATCCTCCCTAATCAAACATTAAGCACAGACCCTGTGGTTTGCCCGGGCTGCAACATGAAGGATTCCCTGTCGTCGAACGTAAAAAAGAGAAATTGTAGAAAATACTGCGTATAATACGCAGTGTTTTCTGCTTTCGGATTCAGAGTTTTCAGGGTTTTAGGGTTTAGGGCTGTATAGGGTTTAGGGTTTTAGGGTTTAGGGTTCGTCGTATGGTAAATACAAAAACACTGGCAACGCGCAGGTTTTTGAGCATGTCAAAGGATAATATGTTGAACTCCATTCTAACCTTGCGGACAAGCCATAGGGTCTTGCCGTAATATTAGATACGTGCCAAAATTAATGCCTTCCCCCTAATTTTAAACCTTAGAAACCCTGATTTGGTATGATTAAAGGATTGAGCACCAAATCATACCAAATCAGGGTTTCTAAGGTTTAAAATTAGGGGGAAGGCATTAATGGATGCAGCGGGATGGCTGGTGTTGAATGTGGGGCCCTAGGTACTGACCTGCATCCAAGGTGCTTCAAACATGAGCAGGGATGTTTTTTGGGGGTGTCCTCGGTTCAAAAAGTGTTTAATTACGAACATGTCGGCCCAAAATAAGAAACATTAAGAAACCATATATGTCATAAATCTATATAAATCTGTTGTTTAAATGTCGCATTCACTGTTTAACCAACCGTTTTCATCCGTTTTCTTCTTAAGTTTCACCAAATGGGTTGATGTTCGTCGACTTTTTGGGGTGTTGAAAATATGCATGATCATTTAATTCAATCATAATTTCATTTAACACTATTAGCCCGTAATATTAGGCATTGACAATGCCACATTCAACAAATCACGCCAGTTCTCCCAAGTGTCTGCACTCAGCGCCTCATGTCCTGCGGGACTTTTGGGCATTGTCTCACATAGAATCAGCACCTGTTGCCACTGACCACTATTGTGACAAGCGTTAATAGCGGCCTTGTGGCTAGTGATGTTGGGATACACATCATCTTTCGTCATCTGAGCAAAGAAGGTCAGTGCCTGCTGCCAATGGTTCCCTGACCCACAAGCACCCATGGTCGCGTTGTAGCTGATCACATCAGGAGCTACTTCCGCTTGCTTCATGATATCGAACAACATCACTGCCCGCTCCCATTCTCCAGCGATCTGGCAAGCACTGATGGTGGCACTAAAACTGAATACATTTGGCTTCACTGTGGCTTCATTCATTACCCAAAAAAACAGTAGTGCCTGCTGCCACTCCCCTCCCTTCTCGCAAGCACTGATGGTAGCACTGTAGCTGATCACATCTGGTTTCAGTGTCAGCGTCTGCATCGCCTGAAACAAAATCAATGCGTGCTCCCATTGACCACCCTTCTCACATGCGCTGATAGCAGCATTGTAGCTCACAACATTTGGACAAGCCTTTCCTTCTTCCATTGCCTCCAATAAAGTTAGGCCCTGCTGCCACTGAGCGCCCTTCTCACAAGCACTGATGGTTGCGCTGCAAATGATGACGTTTGGATTTACTTTGCGTGCTTCCATCGTCCCAAAGAGCATCAATGCTTGCTGCCATTGATCACCCTTTTCGCAAGCACTGATGGCCGCACCGTAGGTGAATTCATTCGGGGCCACTTCGGCTTTCTGCATTTCTTCTAGTAGCTCGAATGCCTGCCGCCATTCCCCGTTCGTCTCGCAAGCACTGATGGTTGCACTGTAGCTTACCACATCTGGATCTATTGTGACTTCTGTCGTCGCCCGGAACAGCTTTAAAGCCTCCTGCCATGCACCGCCTGCGCCACAAGCACTGATAATAGCGTTGTAGCAAATCACATCGGGATTCACTTCTGCATTCTGCATCGCTTCGAAGAGTTCCAATCCCTGCTGCCACCGAGCACCCTTTGCACAAGCACTGATTGCTGCACTGTAAAGAATGACATTCGGCCTCACTTTGGCTAGCTGCATGTCCTCAAACAAAATCATGGCCTGTTGCCACTGGCCACCATTGTGACAAGCACCGATGGCGGCATTGTATGTAAACGCATTGGCAGCCACCCTGGCTTTGGGCATCATGTGCAAGAGCCAGCACGAATGTTCCCACATGTTTGACCTGCCACATGTTGAAATCCCCACTGTGTAATCGCGTTGGTCCAGGACACTTGAACTCTGTAACAGCATGCTGAAGGTTTCAAGAATCAGTTCCGCACGTTTCTTATCCCCAAGTATCTTTAAGATTCTTCGAAAGTTGGCTCCGGTAGGTTTGAGCCCGGTAACTTCCTCAACCAGCGCTTCAGTCTGGCTGGCTGGCCTCATCCCTCGGCACCATGGGCGAAGAGAGCTGCGCACACGGGATAGCATGGCTGAACAAAAGGGCTCACTTCTGCATAGAGCTCTTGATGCCAGAAACTTGCAAGAATACAATACAAATGTATATATGTATGTATATAAATATGTATATATATATATGTATAGGTATATAATGATATGTAATATGCAGGTATATATATATATATTATATTATATTATATATATATTATATTATATATATATATTATATATATATTATATATTATATATATATGTATATATTATGTGTGATGTAATATGATGAAATCAAAGCATCTGTCCTGGGTTGCCATGTCCAAAAAAACACATCACCTTCCTGAGAATTGCTGTAACATGCTGTAACCACCACTTTGATAAGTAGTATCAAGTAATGGTAGTAATGTCTCAAAACCTGCAGGATCATGACAAGTTTGGAAATCTAATCTAGAACCCCTACTATGTTACTATGCAGCAACATGCAACAACCTCCTAAAACTCACAAAAGCCACCATCTTGGACTGTTAACTGTTAGGACTTGTAAAAGAGCCATTGGAAGAGAAATCCCTGTTCACCTTGACCGTGATGACGTGTTTCTTGGCATTTTCTAGGGCATGTCCCCGATCTTGTGGTTGACATGACGCGTAGAGTATATAGTATATTCCAGCGAGCCAACTGTGACTCCCTGGCAACTTTGGGTTTCAGGGGCCTCCCAAGAGTTGTAATTAGAATTGAGCCTTGAAAACCTTGAAAGGGTCTACCCATGTCTACCTGAAGAGTGCACACATGTTCGGCCGTGCAGCTATGCATCCCCACAACCACACAAAATAGGACAGTCCCATTTATAGGAACGGAGCATTCATAACACCTGAAAGCACGATTCAGCTTACCCTACCTATACCCCTGTTTTGCATGACCATGTTATTGGTGGTGAAATGCCCCAATTCTTGGTGGGTAGCACATGAGAATCTGTAACTCCAGGCCCTTCTCGTTGCCGCCTCTTGACACTGAGGAATCGAAAACCTGCGGCGTTCAGGAGCGCTGTAGCAACCGGTGCCGAAAAGATGGAATTCAATTGGGATCATGATCGCATTTTTAGAGATGAACAAATAATACAAATATGAACACATATCTGAAAGGATAGCTTCAATCAACTGACTGTGACCTAGGATAAAAAAGGGTAGTGTCAAGAAGCCCGGGACTTTCTGACATCTTCCAAGTTTGCCCAGTTGTCATAGCATTTCTGCAGCCTGAATTGGAGCAGAAACAGGCCTTGCCATTCTCTAGCTTGCCGGTGTAGTGCCTCAGGTTGCAAGATTGGGCCCATTTCATCCCATTTCACCGCAAACTTTCTGCTCCTGAGTACTCGTGAATATTCGACATGGTTGGGCCACGTCGATGTTTGCAGGCTGGGAATGTTCTCCATCTATTGGTCCATCTGTCAAAGTTATTTGAGGCTAGCAAGTTGCAAATAAACAATAAGTAACAATAAAACCTGCTAACCAACAATATCTGAAACTACCAATATCATCAATATCTGAAACCACCAAATGGAATCCAAATGGCTAATACGCTAACAAAAAACCGCCACCTGACACCTCCCTGGCGCGCCAAGAAACACTTTCACGCTTTGCCCCTTGACAGGTGCTTCTCCCTCACCTACGACCTCATGCCAAGGGCGCATGCTCTTGCAAAGGGAAAGGAATATGAATATGATGGGCCCACGGAACTGCTCGTTTTTATTTCAGGATTAACGGGTCAATAATTTCGAGCCAAATATATATATATATAGAGATAGATAGATAGATAGATAGATAGATAGATAGATAGATAGATAGATAGATAGATAGATAGATATACATATATATATATAATTATATATATAATTATATATATATGAATATAAATATTCCCGTTTGCAGGGTGCGCAATCTGCTTGAGACTTGGAGCGTTCAAAATGACAAACTTCGTTCCCAAGGTTTGTAAGTGGCCTCTCGTCCCACTCTGGGAGTGGACAGTGGAAACAGCACAGCTGTAAAATGGCTGTTGGAAAGAATCTCTCAATTTCTTGGGTAATGTTTGAGTACACACACAATCCACAAGCTCCACGCTGATGTATTCCTTGATCAATCTGGATAAATTAGAATAATTCACTGGTCTTAATTATTTTGGGATAGTTACCCCAACTAAGATCTACTAAGCATCATGAAAATGAGAGTTACCACCATCAATGTACTGTGGGATTACTTCAATCAACAAACCGATGGGATAGGTCTCAACAACTGCCGTTCCTCGCAGCGCACCTTTTGCCCTCGCAGCATTCGCAGCAGGGCATATCTGGCGTGTAGCTAGCAGCCCTTCAGGATGTGCCACACTGCCACACTCAAAATGCGCATAGTCGGCTTTAAAGACATATACATATACATCATGAATTTCCATGCTACGATAATAACACAGCTAAAACATAGTAGTGAAATGTAGTGATGATAGGCTTGACAACAAACAATATATGCTTGCAATTAGCCAGAAACATTGCTGCTAGTCCTCAGGTACATTACACATTTGTTTTGCTAGCACGGGTCAGTTGAAAATGAAAGGGTATGGCTGCTGTTAAGGCATAATCATAATCCCCGTTGAGGCTTGATAAAAGCTCCCCTGAAATGCTGGCCAGTGGCTTCATTCCATTCCAAAGAAAAAAGATCCTTATTTGTTTAGTGGGCATCATTCACCCCGGGATGGAAAATAGTGACATAAACTATATTAATCAAATCATGTTGTGTCATAACTCAACCAACAAACAGGGATAAATTGTCAGGTTCCAAGTCATCTCGTGGCAAAAAAAGCCGCTTGGCATCGCTCTCTCAGCCGAAGGGGTTGTCAGACCTAAGGGTGGCCAGATGAGTTTGGCAGGCGCAACCAAGCCCCAATGTTTTCTAAACGAGATCAACCCAATAATAAACCATCCCCAAGACAGGGATAGTGTATCAAATATTATCAAATTGGGTACACCCCCATTTGTTTTTAGGTCGCTGGTTACTATGACTCCACATGACTCCACATCTTATAGGGGTGGTTTATGGCAGTGGGTTTGCCACACGAGAAACCACGGCGTATCGTAGTATCCTCGGCGCCCCAACCCCAAACCAAATTGGATCCGGCGATCCTCACGTTCGCTCTCCACTTTCTGAAGCCTTGGTGGTATGGGAAGATGATGGAAGATGTAGGAAACTGTTTCATGTCACATCCATATCATATTATTGAACCTTTATATAAATCATATCTCACAGAACCGCTGCTTTCCCTCCTGAGACGCCGGACGCTCGCTTGCACCACATGGAGTGGCCCGCGGGGTTCCGGTCCTCCGCGGCATCCGGTTCAGCTAAGCCACAGGTTAAACAGCTGAATTCCAAGCCTTGGAGGCTGGAAATCAGCCACCGAATCACCCAAAAAAACAACAAAAACCACAGTGGCCTCTGGTAATTTCACACTTTGCCGATGAACAAGCACCATTTTTGCGTAGCTAAAATATGCTAAAATCATGGCACATCATCTATACATGGGCAATTTGACATCCATTTCCCCAGTTTCTCAGCCCCTTCCAGGCTCGCTCCGCTCCCCGCTCCGCTCCTTGCGGGTCAGGACCTTGGAGACCCATTGGACACCTTCATCCCTCCGAGCCAGCGCGCTGTTCATATTGTCCTTGCGGGATGTCCCTCTGGGGAGTGGTTTCTAAGGCAACCCAGTGGTAGATGGGATATACAGTGGATATACCATGATATACCCAGTTTAAAACATGGCTACAAAAGGGATTACTTTGGATTGCTATGGGCTTGTTAACAGGGATGAACATTCAAGTACTTTGTGGGTAGGACTGGGTACATCTTTACAAGTATGCACAAATTTTGTCCCTACACCAGGTATAGACAGGCTTAGCACATGTCAGAACCACCCATGACAAGGGGATGAGGCAATTGCAAGCCAAATTTCTCACCTTTTTTGGTACAGTAGCATCCCAAAGATTGGAATCAGCCACCAGGATATTCCAGGTGGGATTGACGAATCAAAACAGCCACCAGGATCCACCAGCTTGGTCAACTTTGCTCGTCTCCTCCACGTATCTGTGGACCTCTACGGCCCCAGCACGTAGGAGCCTAAGGCGAACGTCGCAAGCGTGCAAGTCGAGTTTTGAATGATTTTGTTAAGATTTGTTGATATTTTGATATAAAAAGGGATCGTTGTTGATTCAAAATATGTTAACTGTTCAAATCTTAAATTTTGCTGGAATTGCTGAGGAAAACATAGGAAAACCATGTTTTTTTCCATGGAAAACCCCATGGGAACATTGCTCCAGCGAAGATCCAAGTAGCACATCATAGGCCTTGAGCCTCAGGATTTCGACCGGCCAGGGCTTCTCTTCGCATATCTCTCATTATGATTCTATATTAATGGTGTATTCATGGGATTTAAATGGCACAATATATATATATATATATCAATGGATATTCATGGGATTTAAATCCCATATATACATATATATATACATATTCTATATTAATGGTGTATATATATATATGTGTGTGTGTGTGGTTGTATGATTTATTAATAGGAAATCAATGGGACATTAATGGGACTCATCAGAATGGAGGTAAATGATGCATCAATTTGGATGATCTTTCTACCTTGTAATTTTTGTATCCCTATTCTTATTCTTAATATTGCCATTACAACTATCATTGATCATTATCATATAGTTATGACTAGTAGTAATTAGTAACTATGGTCATGATGTATCACTATCATTGGATAGACCATCTGATCATCCTCAGGCATGTCATGGATCCATCCCAGCCCATGGGGTTCCAGCTTGGAGCGCGGGATACGCGAGTCGATCTCTTTGAAGAGCTTTGGTGCCTGGCACCAAGAACGAAGGGCCGACCTGCTACTGACCTTGGACCTTTCCTAAGAGAAACGTGGGGATTAAAGCAATAACATGCTGGGGATGTGATGGGACATGCTATGCCGTGGTGGTGTTCAAGCAGCAAATGTGGGAAGGGAATCATGTCTTGGCCTTCATTTCTGGAAGGGCTCCAAGCAAGTGTCTTTAGGATTCTAGGACCACAAAGCCTCCCGCAACGGCACCTCCCGCGCTGCTAGTAGAGCAGGACCTGGATTCTTGGCAACCACTTCTTGCGGGGTCTCTTCCACCTCACTGATCAACACCTGCGTTGCTGGACTCTCCACAGCTTTTTCTGGCTCTGTCTCCGTGAATTGAAGTGAAATTGTCCCGCGCAAGTACGAGTACGTTGATTCTGGAAGCGCGGCCAGAGCTTACAGTGTCCTATGGGGATAGGTGCATATGCATATGGATCTTTGGGGAAAGAAAAAGCAATCACCCAAAGAAATCATGCACAGCATTCATCGTAATTATATTTATATATATATATATATGTATGTATGTATGTATACATGCTTATATATATAAATATATATAATTATATATATAGTATATATACATAAATCTGAGAGGGTGCAATTTGACTTTACCATGCTCCAGGGCCAGCCAAGGCCTCACTGGACTCGATGTCCCTCTGCAAAACTCCATCGGTGTGCGCCACCTGTGGTCGTTCAGCTAGCGATCTGTAGACAGTGCAACCCACGGCATGGGAAGCACCCTGAATCAATGGGAATTTCAGGATCCTAAAATGGAGGTACTGTACCATATAAGGCCTTATTTTGTAGGGATATTCCCTGAAATTTAGGCCTTATATAGGCCTTATATATGGTAGGTACCTTCATTTTAGGATCCTGAAATTCCCATTGACTGAACAGGCCTTTTCGATGAGGGTGGACAGTTGCTCCGCACCTCATTCGCCATGGGGAGAGATATGGAGAGATCATGTCAGAAATAGGTCTCAAACAGAGAATTCTGACATCTTTAGTTCAAAGTTCTGGCTACCAGAAACCACCCGCTACAAGCGCCTTACTCAAACTTTCAAACGTCACAGGTGGTGCCCGATCACATTTTCGGATGAAGTTTCTAAGTGCCATCCTGCCGCTCAGGATTCCAGTTTACCCATGATTCCTTGACCTTCACAGCATTTTGTTCCAAGGCCATCTTCGTCTCTGGCCATCACCCGGGTCTCCGGCAAAGCTCCAAGCCTTCCGTTGCCTTGGAGCTCCTGCTTGGAGAATCGATGCCAGAAAGGTCGTCCAAGGTCCTTGTGATATCGAGGGGTTGGTGCCAATATGTCCCAATCCTTTGGGGAAAAAAATGGGGACACTTAGGCATACCAAATATATTCAATGATAAAGGTTGGGGTCAACCTTCTTTGGTTTGAAATCAGTGTGAAAAACGTTACTAATATATAAAGCCCCAATTTCCACATTGGAATTAAGATGAATATAATGTATCCAAATATTAACTGATCATGTTCATTGGTTCTCTACTTCTATTTTCTGAATTATCCAATGAAAGGCAGGTGAATGGAAGCATCAAAGGCTACATGCCATTTATATCCATTTATGGGATTACTTCATAGGCACTGGACATGAATGGTTGTTCATTACCCATTTTTTAGCCAATGTGTTGTTCTGTTAGGGAAATTCATGTCAATGTTTTGGTGAATCAGCGGCCATCCCAAGCATCTGGAGTCTAGAGCCATCCCAAATTGGGAATATGTAATATGCACATATAATAATATAATTATATATATATATGATAATTATATATATAACTATAGAAGCATACAGGATATCATAAGATATACATATATCCAGATTCAGATATTCAAAATTTGTTTTCAAAAAATACATGGAATAAATAGGGAATTAGTATTGCGTATATCTTGTAAGACTAGTGTTTTTTAATGACATCATATAACATACAAATTTCACTACATGATACATATTGATGAGTACAAATGTCTATTTTTTGATACATATATAGATATAATAAGCATATCAATACATATATGAATAGATATACATCACAGTTATATGCATTGATATATTTTATATAGTTATATATATATATAATTATATATATATATCTTAACCCCTTCCCCAGTGACAGCTTCCAAGGCTTCTAAGGCTTCCAAGGCCAGGCACTGGAAGAGCTCCACGGCCGGCAGCTCAGGCTCCGGCGGCTTGGGCTCTGGGACCTGGCTCCGGGCTCTGGAGCTCGGAGTTTGTTGGGGGGTACCCCGAGGAAATGGGTGGTTTTTTTCATGGAAAATCCTACTAAAATATGGATGATAACTGGGGGTACCCCTATTTTAGGAAACCTCTATATATATATATATAGATATAATTATATGATTTATTTGGATATGTATTTAGACGGTTTTCCAGTCGTATGGTAATTATGGATATTGATATTGAGTTTAAAGAAGAAACATAACTAACATAAGAATAATGATGGTGATAAAAATAATGATACCAATTGATGATCATGAGCTGTACGGCAGCACATCATCCTAACAAAACTGGGTGGATGCTTGAGGAAGAAAACCCTCGTTCTGCAGCTCGGTTCCCCTACATCGTTCTGGAGCATGGAGGCGGTTTCCGCAGTGCGCCTGGCGGCTTCCTCGGCAATGGCTTGGACGAAAGACATCACATGCTGGTCATCATTTTTAGAGCATCATTTTTAGCAAAGTCATCACCAAAAAAGAGGAACATATCATAATGTCAAGGGTCAAGAATATTAATAATAGATATTAATAATATAATGGTAGGAACATATCACCTAGTAGAAAAATTAGCTACACGAAGGAGGGTACCAATGGTACCAGAAGATTGGAGCCTGCAACTGCGCCCGCCCATAAGGTCGATCCGAGCTGCCAGCGCAGTCGAAAAATGTTGGTCCAAGCTGATTTTTTTCTCCTCGGCGCAGCACGGCGCGGAGATGAGCCTTGAGTAAATTCATTCATTAAGAATATTAAGAACACAACATGACAAGCTTGAGATTGCGAGCTCTCAGCACCTGTCAGTCTTCACATCAGGTTGTATCAGGTAACCACTGCGACTGCGGCAACCTCTGAAACCACGGCCAAGTCGCTTGAAGAAACACGTCCTGAGAAGGGGCCCGAGGGCTGTACAGCGGGTCCAGTTCAAGAGCTACATGCGCAATTTTGCCAGACAAGTCCAAAGATAAAACGAAGTTTGGTGGTGCAAAAACAATATTTGGTGGTTTCCCAATGAGTTTTCAGGCAAGTAATTACCAGTAAATTAACATAGACCCCCGCCAGAATAGGGTTGGAAGATTAGTTTTCACTAAGAATTGGTTATTTCCAGGGTCTACCATTTTCAGAGAGTCGATGTCATGCCGCTTTACCAAGATCCAACACAGGCAATGCTCCTGGCTTGCCAAGGTTTGCTTCAGGAACCTCATGGGGATTGCTGGGGATTGCCGCGGACTACATGATTCAGGGGTGTGTTGATCGCAAAAAGACGTGGGATAGACCCTGAAATTATGTTTGGCGAATAAATCAGCAAAAATGAATGGGCAAATCTCACAACGTAAAATACCTGAACTTCATTGAAGTGTTCTTTCCACACACCTTCTGCTACTGCATATGTGGCTGAAAGCACCATCACCCTGGTGGTCTTCAATCACATTGCAGGGAACATCTACCGTGCTGAGGAAACCCCTTGACCATTTTCAGACTGAAACCCTGCACTCTGTGACCCAGTTATGGGATAACTCCAGGACTGGGAGATCTTGCCCACCTGTCTGGCCCATTTGACTTACCTTAAATACTCTGCACACATTCTAGCAAGCCATGAAATCTGTCTTCACCTTTTTGTATGACCCCCCCGAAAAAATATGTACATTATATAGAACGCCCACCATTCACATCCATTCACCAGAAACTAAAAACAAGATTTTGTAGAATTGATATGACACACATATATATAATATTATATCATATAATATATAAATAATATATAAAATATAATATAATATAATATATAAATAATATATAAATAATATATAAATAATATATAAATAATATATAAATAATATATAAATAATATATAAATAATATATAATATATAATACATATATATATATATATATACATGATATGATATGATATTCATTGATATTAAACCGTTGCATCGCCGGGAGATCCGTGGCCCTGGCACCGCCCCAGCCCAGCGGCATCTCGTCGATTTCCGCCAGGACCTCCTCGGGCGTCTTCTTCCGTGGCTTCTCGGTGAGCTGAATGCCCAGCCTGCGCCGTGCCAAACGAAACGATCTTACATATATATCTATACTAAATATATATATATACATAAATACAAACAATATATATATATGTATATATGTATATATATGTTTATATATTTTTATATATTCTTATATATATATTATAGCGCAGCACATATTTATCTATAGAATTTCATGCGTTTGGAAGTTGTAATTGTAATATGTTGGCATGGGGAAGGGCGTTCCTTGCTTTTCGTCCGTTTGGGAAAGGCAATGTGTGAGGTCTCACCGAAGCCACCCGGCCGTGCCTCTGCTCTCGCCTGAGTTTCGTGGCAAGTTTGGTGGAGAACACAGAGGTTTTTCCCAGTTTGCAGTAGAAATGGCCTGGATGATGATGACTCAGGTACAAGTAGCTGCGAATCAGCAAACAAAAAAACAAATAAACAATATTTAATATACCATACTTGAGATATTTTGAAATGTCGATACAATATGATACAATTATGTATAGGACTGCAGGTTGGAATTTGAGCCAAAGCAATAAAATGAAATCATCTGTCATAGATTTTACATCTTTCTGAGGCCGCAAATTTCCCTTGAAAGTCACAGTTGCTCTGCATCGACTTTGATCAATGAGACAATGAGACCATCATATGCTGTCGTCAGCCATGCGTACTTGCTTCATGAGCTGGAGCCACGCTCCAATGCGCTATGCGCTAATCTATTCATCACATCTAGTGATTCTAGTGCATGCCTGCCATGAAGTTTTTAAATGTGTTTTTTTTTGGTCAGTGCACTTGCAACATCTTGCAACCACCCAACCACAACCAAATCAACCAAGGATGACCAGTGTCGACTGTCCAAGTCGCAAGGCGATGTGCTTGGCATCGTTCAGTGCCACCACTCGGATCTTGGGGAAGTGCTGACGCTTCGCACCTGGAACTGCTGGAACCGCAACACCGATCCCACCCGGAAATCCCAATCGGAAATCCACGGAAATCCCCAAGAACCAGCTTAGATTCAGGGCACATGAAGCCGGAGAACAATCAAGCATCCAAAACATTCCAAAACGAAGAGAATTCATCCGAGTTTCATGAAAAAATTGCCAATCAAAGTTGGAATGATACTAATTATTAAAGTCACAAAGCCCCCATCTCCGCAAGGTCCTGGTATCCGTGGCAAACTTTGCGACTTCTGCATGTCTCAGAGCGGCCTGCCCCACCGGACTTGAGCCAAGCTGGCGGCGGAGCGGTCACCGCGAAAAGACACAACAATGGACACTCAATACGTCTGGCCATGTCTTTCCCCCAGTTTTGTAGGATTTCAGAGATACAGTATCACATATACATGATATTACATGATATATTATACCTTATCAAATTGACCTTTGCGAAGCCCTTCCAACAGTTGATACCCTCTGGTAATTTAACATAGCTATTGAAAATGGCACATTTATAGTGGATTTACCCATTAAAAATGGTGATTTTCCATAGTTATGGGACAGTTTACCAGAGGGTAACAGTTGCTAACCACCTGGGCTCCGGCGATGTCTCGGTACTGCAGCCCCGAGCTCGTCGTCGTCCACGGCGTCTCCGAGGTCGCCGCGCCGCGGCGGCCAGCGCCGCTCGCGGCCAGCGCGGTGCCCAAGGCGCCCGAGAGCGGCGCCACGCTGCGCCAGCGGGCGGCCCAGGTGCCGGGCCTAGGTGGAAGGCACTGAAAAAATGGCTTGAAAACTGGCAAAAAATCGTGGAAACCTGGAAGATTAACCCCAAAAAAGCTTGGATGTAACAGCATTTGAAACAGCAAGAACTCGGGGATTTGACCCCCAAAAAGTTGGGAGTTCAATTTCATGGAAGGTAAACAGGACTTCACATAATTAGACATATTTTAACATATCCTTTGGCTTATTGAATATAATATAATATAATTATTGGAATCATTTTGGAATAATTCCGCATTTTTTGGTTGAACGTTGAAACCATGGCCTTTCCGGTCATATGGTGGAAAACCATGTAATTTGTCGCTTCATTCAATTCATTCCAATTCGATTCTATGACATAGATTTGTCGCCATTTAATGGGCATCAAATTATCAAATCAATTTAAAAGATGGGAGAGTGGAGAACTTGGAGAACAGGTGGTTTTCTTGCACGTCCATTGTGAGACCCAATACAGCTGGGAGATGCTTTATGATCTTCATGGGGAGGCTTCGGATCACTGCCCCTGTGCATCCCAGGCAGCTTCCGTGACACCGCAAAAGCACGTAGCCTCACGTCCTGCGTACGGTATGCGGCACTGGGATCTGGGCTAACCCCAAGTGTTTCTTGGCAGGTTCCAAACACATGGCACCATAGGGCCCTGCCCAAAAGCAGCCGCAAAGATCAGCCGTATCCTACGATGAGTTTCAGTGGGGGTTTTCAGATTCAGCTTGTGCTTCTGGTTGGTTTCAAGATGTTTCAAGCAGGTGTTCCCTTTCACGGTCTTTCACCAGGTCCTATAATTGAAAATTCTACTGAAGATGTTGATAGACCTAGAGACTGAGGGTCAAGGTATGTTGAAGTCATCAATAGACCTCTCAGACTGAAAAAATGATCAACCAATCCGTGGGCTCCAAGCCCAACATTCACTAAACCAAACATTGGGGATATGCTATCATGACAACGACAAGAGCTTATGAACTTATATCAATGATGGGTAGATGGGAGATGACCACGCCCAACTGGTGAGTGCGTCAATGTATCACAAGAACAGAATATCAGTCACCCTGGGGAACATAATCACACGGATTTCAAAAACTGTGGACGGAAATAACATGAAATAACACGTACTTAAAAACCTAGAAGCAAAGTGAAACAACAAATCAAAAGCGCACCCCAAATCATGAAATCTACATGCCTTTGCCAGGAAAGGCGGCGCAGTGGCGACTCGACCAAGGGCACGCGGAAACATGATGAGCAGGGCAGCAGGGCCCGTGCTTGAGACGCTAAGGACTGATCGGATACAGATTTTGGTCCATCTACCATTTAAATCCATTTAATGATAGTTATAGATGGAGACAAACATATACAGTACATGTGTATGCTGTGTATGCCTGCATATGTTTATGGTTGAACATGTTTTAAAGGTGTATAATCTAACTGTATAACATACGTGATCATACGTGTAAGTACATGTTCATGTTCAGCACACATGGCATTTGAAGAACAATGGGTCATCTTCAACAATCGACGACCTTCCAGTTTCTGGAACACCGAAAGACATCATCACCGTGGCAAGTTGAGACATTGCATTTTTTTCTCAAGGCGGTATCAGCTTGCAAATCCTTTCCCAAGAGGAAATCAAGGACGTCGAATTGTGGAACCGCCGTGCGCCGCCAGGGACGGTGAACATCGCTGGCGCGGCAGAAACAACTGCACGTGCAAAGCAGGGAACAGCGGCAAGGCGGCTAACCGTGGTCTGGGACATGTCATATTCCTGTCCCATGTGACATGAGTGACACAACTATAAAACATCATAAAACATCATAAAACCATCACTGTTATTGGGAAGCTCTATTTCTATCTATTTCTTTTTTTTGATGAGACCTGGACCAAAACCGTGCCATGCTTGAGAGTCAACTGCCGCCCAGTCGTCCAATCCCCTAATTCTGATGCAACAAGGCCAGGCCCGCTGGGACCTGGATTTCCCCTTGAGTTTGTGGTAACACACTGTCTAAGACCTTGAAAGCCATCGCCATCAGCAGGCTGACATCTTAAGAATCCTGCAAGATCCTTGAGTCAATACTTCACGACAAAATATATCAGGATTATATCAGGATATCTCGGGTATCTCTGTCGCATCAGTCAACTGAAACATCCTGGCGTTACACTCTGGGGCGAAGCCAGTCTATTTTTCCATACTAGTCGATGGAGCCACTGGAAAGAACACTGGGTTTTGGTGCGAAGGTGATAGGATCCATGCCCAGGGCACCTCAGATGCTTATACCCTATTAACTTATACCGCTTACATCATTCTCAGATATTCTCAGGACAATACCATCACAGTCATCACCAACATTCATAAATGGCAGTGTGTCAAAACCTTGTACCCCTGGTGAACATAAAAATAGCTGGTAAATGGATGTTCATCCCTCTAAAAATGGTATTAATAGGTATTGATTCATAGCCAAATCAGATTTTGGGCGTGACCAACTTTTTTCCCACTCCCGTTGGCTCCAACAAGTTCCAAGTTGAGGTTCAGTAAGCCTCCATCCGTGTCAGCAAAAAACTCGGCTGGTCAAATTCGACCCTCAAAGGAATTGCGCCACCTGGGAATCGATCAGAAACCATGGACAGATATGGACAGTGTCTCCATGCCAACAGTTGTTCATCGACATCATCAGCCTTATTGAAGACCACTACTCTGATCTACAAATGGATACAAATGGTGCTGCTACGCCAATCATGGTTACCATGGTTATCAACTCTGGAATCCGGAGAAACCCCCAACAAGACTGGAAGGAATGCACCTCATCTCACGGGATGTGTCATTCATCCATAGATAGCCAAGAATAGTTTACCTATTCATCCATGACTCAGGATTACAATAAATTAAACATGGTAGGATAATTGGATAATCAATCCATTTGACAAATAACTATCCTAACGGTCCTAACATCCATAATCTAACATCCACTAATCCAGCATTCATTGGATTGGTTGAAGGGAAAATTGACCGGAACCCCCTATATTTGATGGTTTTATACCCATGGTTTCCGGTTAAGATTTTCCCTTCAACCAATCCATTGGTTTTCCATCATCCACCAGGCGTTCGACGTCCAGACCTTGATCAAAATGTCCGGCAGAGTTTGGGTCAACGGCCCTGATCCTGATCCATCATGGCTCATGACGCCATGACGCACAACGGAATCCATTCACCGTGGATTCCATGGATCATCATGGATCCATGTCTTGTTGGCTCCCGAGAATCATTGAGATTCAGAAGGCCGCATTTGCGTGATTGGTTGATTTGGCTAATATACTTACTATATAATTTATACAAAAATCCGTGGGTTCAGTTAAATATTGCACCCAAAAATCCCCAAATCCGATGGGTCATCATGGTTTTCCCTTTCAAAATTGCCATCAATTGTGGTCTTTTTTACAACCAAAAAAGTGCTGCAAACCCCAGCCTCTGGAGCGAATCCAAGCCAACATGCGACAACGCCACCTGCCAGTGACAGCACCATCCAGTATCATCCAGTACCGGGGATCCAATGGGATCCCCAAAGTTGGGGACCTCCACTGATCTCCGAGGGAAGCTCCAGGGCACCCCACCAGGCTGCGGACCGCTTGAGCAACTGCCGAATCTCTGGCGACGTGGACACACAGTCCTGCTCGTTCAATCCTGGGCATGAATAAGGGCATGTGCGATTGTGGATGTCGGCATATGTATAAGATCATTATTAATATAATTAATATAGGACATATAGGATACATATATAGGATACTGTAGATCATATATCATATAGCGATATATAGCATGAGATCAGTCATCTACTTCTTGATTGATTATTCCAATACCACATGTAAAATGTCCAAAGCATGGGCATCAAGCAAGCGCGGCACATTGTTTTTCATTCGCACCTTATGCACCTTCAAAGCGAAGAAAGCACCCACAGGACCCCAGGTGCCCTGAATTGTGGTGTTCAATCAATCAGCTTAATCAATGTTGGCCCAGCAGCCTGCAAGCAACTACAGTACTTTTTGAGAAGTAGGTAGGGATCTAAAAAATGATAAACATATGAACAGTGGCCCGCTACTATTCCATTCTATATCTGCGAATCACTGCATGCTGTGATATGCTGTGCATAGAGCCTGCCAGGTATCACATCTTTGCATGTTTTCTTTTCGCAAAGCACGGGAAAACCGGCTTTGTGACGTTGGAAGATTTTTGGCTGCAGTTCCATCGGTGGAAAGATGAAAACGACCTCTTTTCCACTCCTCAGAAGAGATCCAGCGACGCCCAGTGATCCAAGTGGTCATATCATACCATGTGGATCCATAGGGTCCGAACATTCACCTCACTCCGTCCCCTCCAAACGTCTCACTGCCTTGTCCATGTTGTACACATAGGTGGACATCACCTGGGATCAAATGAAGGATACTGCTGCCATGACATGTTGGAGAGGCCTCAAATCCCTTATTGTTACGCTTAAAAACTCTGGCCTCCCATACAGTATGAGTTCTTCGCACAGCTTTCAGTACTGAAACCGCAGCCCCTTGCAAATTTCACTCACTGGCTTCACACCTGTTGTCTCGGGGTGAACCACTTGAGAAAAATTGAAAAAAATCACCAAGACCAAGAAACTGAAGAAGAAATCTGTATATCCCTCAATCATTGGTCTATACTCTCTTATACCTCTCCATACCTCTCCTGATCGCCAGGTCTTGCCTATGTTTGTCATATGTTTGTTGAACCGCCAACCATCATATCTCATCATTGACTGCACCTCACTTTATACGACTCATTCCTATGACGCCATTTGGAGGTATCCCAAGACGTTCTTTATATATGGTTATTGTTACAAGTCATATATATATAATATACTGTAATTATTGAAATTATTGTAATTATTTTAATGCATACATTACATTACATAGTCATCATGGAGTAAATATGGATTTGTTCAAGAACATCCTCACTAACATGGGGGATAATGTGAATGAACATCCCACAGTTTGTCACTATTTTGTTCCAAATGATTCTAGCCATATTGTAGCATACTATAGCTATATGGAAGTTTTCCTAAAATGCGGGTACCCCAAAATCATCTTGTCATTAGACTCATTAGACCATGACTTCGTATTGAAACAACCATGGTGACGACTGGGGATCCCCTATGACTTAAGAAACCCCCAAATAGTTATAGATAGTCATAGGTAATCAATAGTAATCATAGATAATCTTGGATATTAACCATTGTTGTCACTATCTGTGAACATCCTATATGTTATCAGTTATCACTATGTTTTTTCCGCATAAATCTAGCATATTAAGTAAAATTCATAGATACAGATATTAAACATAATTACTTAAATATATAGCTACATATATATATATATATGTCAGTATATATATATATGTGTGTGTGTCTGTGTGTTTTTACTGCTATATATATATTTATTTATTTATTTATTTATGTATTCATTTATTGAAGCCACCCACCAATCCACCATAATCCACCCAATCCTCACCCAGTGACATGGTCCAAGGCCGACTGCGCCACAGAAATCTCCGGCAGTTCCTGGCTGAAGCGTTGCAGGTTCTCCGCGTCGCAGAGGTCGACCGCCAGGATCTGGCGCCCGGCCATGGCGTCCACCAGCCAAATGGCTTCCCCGGGGATGCGCAGGGGCGCCTCGGAGGGCCGGGTAGGCCGGGTAGGCATTAGATTCATTAGATGGACATGAAACTCTGGGAACCTTTATGATTTGATATGATTCTGATTGACTATGATTTGTTATTTGATGTTATTTGGATGGCGTCCCAAGAGTCGAAGTAACAGAATGTAACAGAACTAGCTGGTGCTGTCAGGGAAGATACAGTAGTGGGATGGGATGATATTATGGATGGCTAGCCATATGTCGCAACCCCGTGAGATTTGAATTCAGCGGGCACAACTCACTAAGTGGGATGCAACAATGATGTGGGAAGCTCCGGTTGGCCCAAATGTTCATCAAAAAATGGCCCAAATGTTCATCCAGATTCCACCGTGGAGCCAGGGAACCTTGGTCTGAGGAATGTCTGCCATCAAGTCCTCGAACTTGGGACTCGAGACTTCGCTGGTGCCAACCACCAACGATAACCTCGGGTGCGGGGGATGGGGGAAGAATCCAGGCCTGAGACATCCATAAAAGCACCGGACAAACCACGACATGCAGAAAGGAAATCGACTTTCAGTTTTTCGGGCTTATATTAACAGTTTTTTGTTTTTTGCCTAGCCCCATCCCGATGGTTTCACAATGATTCACTTGTTGTTTCCTTTTTAAGCACGCTATGTTGAGTGAATGCGCCGCCACACTTGAACTTGCATGGGCGAGTGCACAGGGCGCAAGAACCGAACAGAACAGAACCTGTCAACAAAATCACATCATGTTCCACTCAAAGTTCGTCATTCCCGGGACCCAACATCTCCGCACATAGCGCAAGCAGCGTCTGTTGCCAAGATAGCCCCGCTTCCTCCAAACGCTCCGCGGCCAAGACCATGCGTAGCGCCGCATCCAGGGAGAGGTGTGGGACGGGATCAAACCTGTGCCGTCCGACCGGCTCCAGGCATGGCGGTGATTGCTAACATTCAAATCCATCAAGCTCAGTGATCTTAGCCAAGCATGAAATGATATCAAATTTGACCAAATATACCAAATGGGATGTATTACTATTGAAAATCAACTGGTGAATTCTATCATGAAATCCCCAAAGATTGCCATAGAGTTGCAAACAGATGTAAATCACATTGGATCACCAACTCCACTATTTCTAAGATGCCTGCAGCCAGACAAATATTGGCTCTACCCCACGTGTTCCATATATTCACCTGCTTTAAATCCCTTGATTTCATGGTGATTTCCCCTACAGCCTAGATCTTCCATGATTTTCCAAGAAGAAATGTGGTGATTGCCCCCACGTCTTGCGGTGATTGCCTCCACATCTTCCATGATTTTCCCCATTTTCCCAGGATTTTCCCAGGATTTTCCCTTTGAAGTGCTGAAAATCACCTGTTGATCACCGAGATCAAGCCCTTCTCCAGTTCCTGCAACTCGCCCTGGAAGGCTGGCGCCGGGCCAGCCGCGAAGGCGTGCACCTCCAGAGGCAAAGAGGACTCGGCCTGGGCATCTCGGAATGGAATCATTAGAAAATGTGGGTATAACAACCATAATATATGGATGTTGCTAAAACCATAATAATGTATAGTATAATATAGTATAGTATTAGTATTAGCATTAGTATTAGTATTAATATTAGTATTAGTATAATATAGTATAGTATTACTAGGTAATAATATTACATATATATAGGTTAATATAATGAATATATTATGATATTATGTGGATTATTATCCTATGATATTAATATTAAATTCTATATAATATTGGAAGAATATTCAGTGGTATAAAATAGACTATTTATCTATTATTATTGGAGAATCAGTGGAATATATAATATAAATATTCCAAGATGTATATATATATATACATACTGTAGGGTATTGTAGCCATGGGTTAATATAGATAATATAATACCATATAATACCCATGGGCTAGATGGGTTTCAATTCCAAGATGGGTTATATATTGATGTATGTATATATAATTATATATAATATATATATGTGATATATCTGTGTGTGCGCGGGTGTGTGTGTGTACTTCTAGATGGTTAAGAAAAGATTAGTATTAGTATTAGTATTAGTATTAGCATTAGTATTAGTATTAGTATTAGTATTAGTTTAGTATAGTATAGTATTAGTATAGTATAGTATAGTTTAGTATAGTATAGCATAGTATAGCATAGCATAGTATAGTATAGCATAGTATAGTATAGCATAGTATAGTATAGTATTAGTATAGTATAGTGTTAAGTATAGTGTTAAGTATAGTATTAAGTATAGTATTAAGTATAGTATTAAGTATAGTATTAAGCATAGTATTAAGTATAGTATTCAGTATAGTATTAAGAATAGTATTAAATATAGTATTAAGTATAGTATTAAGTATAGTATTAAGTATAGTATTAAGTATAGTATTAAGTATAGTATTAAGTATAGTATAGTATAGTATTAGTATAGTATTAGTATAGTATTAGTATAGTATTAGTATAGTATTAGTATAGAATTAGTATAGAATTAGTATAGTATAGTATCGTATAGTATAGTATAGTCGGTATAGTATTACTAGGTAAAAAATATTATATATAGTTTAATACTATAACATACTATGATATTATGTGGATTATTATCCTATGATATTAATATTATATTCTATATAATATTGGAAGAATATTCAGTGGAATAAAATGGATTATCTAATATTATTGGAAAATCAGTGGAATATATAATATCAATATTCCAAGATGTATAGATACATATATATATATATACATACATACTGTAGGGTATTGTAGCCATGGATTAATATAGACAACAGATAATACCATATAATATCCATGGGCTAGATGGGTTTCAATTCCAAGATGGGTTATATGTTGATATATTTATATATAATTATATATATGATGTATCTGTGTGCGCGCGGGTGTGCGTGTGTGTGCGTATTGAAAGATGGTTAAGAAAAGAATCCCTATCAAATTTGCATGCAAGAATTGGAAATACACGGTTCTAAGTCACGGTAATAAGTCATAATGTAATAGTGTGTTTACAGTACATGTGCAATAATTAACTAAACATATTGTATTTGCAACTATTTGCAATCAGCACCCTTGATGATGATGATGATGATGATGATGCTGATGATGATGATGATGTTGATGATGATGATGATGATGGAAAACCCAAGTAGTTTCAAAACGTGGTGTTCAGGATTTATGAGCATATTTAAAGTTAAAGGATGGAATCTTCCACCAAGAAACCATAATGAAGATATACCCGGCTGATCTGAATGATCTGAAAGGGCAAAAAAGAACTTACGACTTCTCTGAAGCAAGTGGAAGTTGCCCGCAACTTCATTCCCAGGAGGAGGCTCACAGAGCCTCCCAGGCTATGGCCACAAACCACAAAGCGCCGGTAGTCACGGCCACGGATGGCTTTCCTTGGTGGCATGGCTGTGACACTTAAAACATCTATAAACCCATCATCCTGCATTCTTGCACTAGGTCACTCGGATGCACTAGATCTGAAAAATTCTGGCATCACATGGCATCACCCTTTATCACCAGACCAACAAACTCCATCAACCTCCTTCCCTTCCTCCCACCTAAAAAAAAATCTGCCAGCCAGTGTCTGCACCTCCGCTGCGGCCTCCTCCCATACGGCCTGCACCGCCAAGGCCATCCCTTCGTGGGCGTAGCCGTGCAGAAATTCGCAGGTGGAACAGGCCAAGTCGGTGGCGATGTCGTCGATGTTGGCGGAACCACGGATGGAGAGGACCAACTCATCTTGGTGTTCCAGCAGGACCTATGGAAGGGCTTTTCATGGCAAATAAAACGGCAATTGAAGCATTCTTGGTTACTAATTGATGCTAGTATACTATACTAACGCTATACATTGCTATAGATGCTATTTGATGGAAGTTGGAAAGGTGACAACCTTGTCTTTTTGATGAAGCAGTGAGAATGTTCCACAGACAGTTTGAGAAAAAAAACGGGAACACACTGCTGAAATGCCCAGGCACCCACCATGGCTTAAAACTGTCCAGCTTATTGGTGTCCTCCTCCTGTCTTCTCGGCATCTTTGTGCCACAAGCCTCAGTCAGCCCTTTGGAAAGTTGGGATCAACTGTCCAAATGTTGCACAGCTGGAACCTACCAAGAAAGTAAGTCTTCCATTCCTGGGGTGTATCCCAGATCTGGCGACTGCCCTCAAGATCTCAACTGAGACAAAGCATGGCAGTCCGAGTTGCCAGGACTGAGGTCTTGGTTGGGACCTGCCAGGTTTTCCATCAGTTACCCTCCTCCGTTTCAGTGACAACTTGGAGTGTGAACATCCTAAGGCCTACCTTCTGGCAATCAAACATGACAATGGAAAATGCATCAAAATGCCACATTTCGAGAGGAATTTCCCATGAAGACCTCCATTCAGAGGGGATTTTCCAGCCAGCCACATTTGATTTCCCTAAGGCCCTAAGCTATGGAACTTGAACCAGGTTTCATCTGTCAGCCCTTGCCTGTTGCTGCAAATACCTGGCCGCTGCCGCCTTATCTCGGTCAAGCCCGGCCGGTGGCCAGGCATCACGAAATTGGAGAAGGCCCACCAGCGCCAGGACGTTCCTTGGTGATGGCTGCCCTCAAAAACTGAATGGTTACAACAAGGGATGGGGACAAAAAGCATAGCTGGAACCATCCCCAACTTAGCATCACCAACAGCATCCGCCGTTAGCTCATTTCACTGCCAAACTAAGGGGCCACCCCATCATAACATGGGCAAAAGATCAAATTGTCTATGAACAAATACATTGCCTGCCACGCTGTTGCTTTGTGCTGTACTTGCGTTGGTACACTCATACTGATCAAAGAAACAAACATCATTTACAATTATCTAATGTCAGATCTTTCAGGTCTTTGCATTTGAACAAAATCTGAGGCAAAAGAATGCAAGTCACAGCGATATTCAATCATAACAATAGTACATCTAATTAGACATGCAATATCACGCAATCATCACGCATATGTATATATATAGATACATGTCGTATTACAATAGGAAAGATTATGTGGTAAACCCAATTTTATAAACTATCACAAACTATCCCCAAGTCATCACCATGGCTATGGGTGGCATATGTAAACCATCCCCAAATGGTAGCTTTATAGCAGCCTGGGTTTCCCACATGAATAATAATATTCATTAACATCCATTAAACGTTCATTAAACATCCATTAAACGTTCATCTAAACATCCATTAAACGTCCATCTAAACATCCATTAAACGTCCATTAAACACCCATTAAACGTTCATCTAAACATCCATTAAACGTCCATTAAACGTTCATCTAAACATCAATTAAACGTTCATCTAAACATCCATTAAACGTTCATCTAAACATCCATTAAACGTCCATTAAACATCCATTAAACGTTCATCTAAACATCCATTAAACGTCCATTAAACATCCATTAAACGTCCATTAAACATCCATTAAACGTCCATTAAACATCCATTAAACGTCCATTAAACATCCATTAAACGTCCATTAAACGTTCATCTAAACATCCATTAAACGTTCATCTAAACATCCATTAAACGTTCATCTAAACATCCATTAAACGTCCATTAAACATCCATGAAACGTTCATCTAAACATCCATTAAACGTTCATCTAAACATCCATTAAACGTCCATTCAACATCCATTAAACGTTCATCTAAACATCCATTAAACGTCCATTAAACATCCATTAAACGTTCATCTAAACATCCATTAAACGTTCATCTAAACATCCATTAAACGTCCATTAAACATCCATTAAACGTTCATCTAAACATCCATTAAACGCTCATCTAAACATCCATTAAACGTCCATTAAACATCCATGAAACGTTCATCTAAACATCCATTAAACGTTCATCTAAACATCCATTAAACGTCCATCTAAACATCCATTAAACGTTCATCTAAACATCCATTAAACGTTCATCTAAACGTCCATTAAACATCCATTAAACGTTCATCTAAACATCCATTAAACGTTCATCTAAACATCCATTAAACGTTCATCTAAACATCCATTAAACGTCCATCTAAACATCCATTAAACGTTCATCTAAACATCCATTAAACGTCCATCTAAACATCCATTAAACGTCCATTAAACATCCATTAAACGTTCATCTAAACATCCATTAAACGTTCATCTAAACATCCATTAAACGTCCATTAAACATCCATTAAACGTTCATCTAAACATCCATTAAACGCTCATCTAAACATCCATTAAACGTCCATTAAACATCCATGAAACGTTCATCTAAACATCCATTAAACGTTCATCTAAACATCCATTAAACGTCCATCTAAACATCCATTAAACGTTCATCTAAACATCCATTAAACGTTCATCTAAACGTCCATTAAACATCCATTAAACGTTCATCTAAACATCCATTAAACGTTCATCTAAACATCCATTAAACGTTCATCTAAACATCCATTAAACGTCCATCTAAACATCCATTAAACGTTCATCTAAACATCCATTAAACGTTCATCTAAACATCCATTAAACGTTCATCTAAACATCCATTAAACGTTCATCTACACATCCATTAAACGTCCATTAAACATCCATTAAACGTCCATTAAAATCCATTAAACGTCCATTAAACATCCATTAAACGTTCATCTAAACATCCATTAAACGTTCATCTAAACATCCATTAAACGTTCATCTAAACATCCATTAAACGTCCATTGAAATCCATTAAACGTCCATTAAAATCCATTAAACGTCCATCTAAACATCCATTAAACGTTCATCTAAACATCCATTAAACGTTCATCTAAACGTCCATTAAACGTTCATCTAAACATCCATTAAACGTCCATTGAAATCCATTAAACGTCCATTGAAATCCATTAAACGTTCATTTAAACATCCATTAAACGTTCATTTAAACATCCATTAAACGTTCATCTAAACATCCATTAAACGCGCATCTAAACATCCATTAAACGTTCATCTAAACATCCATTAAACGTTCATCTAAACATCCATTAAACGTCCATTAAAATCCATTAAACGTCCATTAAAATCCATTAAACGTCCATTAAAATCCAAAAATCCATTAAACGTCCATTGAAATCCATTAAACGTCCATTGAAATCCATTAAACGTCCATTAAACATCATTAAACGTTCATCTAAACATCCATTAAACGTTCATCTAAACATCCATTAAACGTTCATCTAAACATCCATTAAACGTTCATCTAAACATCCATTAAACGTTCATCTAAACATCCATTAAATCTCCATTAAACATCCATTAAATCTCCATTAAACATCCATTAAACGTTCATCTAAACATCCATTAAACGTTCATCTAAACATCCATTAAACGTTCATCTAAACATCCATTAAACGTTCATCTAAACATCCATTAAACGTCCATTAAAATCCATTAAACGTCCATTAAAATCCATTAAACGTCCATTAAAATCCAAAAATCCATTAAACGTCCATTGAAATCCATTAAACGTCCATTAAAATCCATTAAACGTCCATTAAACATCATTAAACGTTCATCTAAACATCCATTAAACGTTCATCTAAACATCCATTAAACGTTCATCTAAACATCCATTAAACGTTCATCTAAACATCCATTAAATCTCCATTAAACATCCATTAAATCTCCATTAAACATCCATTAAATCTCCATTAAACATCCATTAAATCTCCATTAAACATCCATTAAACATCCATTAAACATCCATTAAACATCCATTAAACATCCATTAAATCTCCATTAAACATCCATTAAATCTCCATTAAACATCCATTAAACATCCATTAAACATCCATTAAATCTCCATTAAACATCCATTAAACATCCATTAAACATCCATTAAACATACATTAAATCTCCATTAAACATCCATTAAATCTCCATTAAACATCCATTAAATCTCCATTAAACGTCCATTAAACATCCATTAAATCTCCATTAAACATCCATTAAATCTCTATTAAACATCCATTAAATCTCCATTAAACATCCATTAAACATCCATTAAATCTCCATTAAACATCCATTAAATCTCCATTAAACATCCATTAAATCTCCATTAAACATCCATTAAATCTCCATTAAATCTCCATTAAACATCCATTAAACATCCATTAAATCTCCATTAAACATCCATTAAATCTCCATTAAATCTCCATTAAACATCCATTAAACATCCATTAAACATCCATTAAACATCCATTAAACATACATTAAATCTCCATTAAACATCCATTAAATCTCCATTAAACATCCATTAAATCTCCATTAAACATCCATTAAATCTCCATTAAACATCCATTAAACGTCCATTAACCAGCACTTCCCTCTCCAAGCATCGCCCCATAGGACGCGACCGCGAACTTCGTCAGCGTCTGCGCCTCAGACAGCAGCGCCAGGTCCGAGATCAGCGGCACGGAGGTCGCGGGGAGGTTGAAGCCGGCACCTACGCGGTTAGGGATGATCTTGTGCGACAAAAAGCTGGTGAATTGACCATGATACACTTGGGTAATGTGTCAGGATACAATTTTGACTATGTTTTTGACTGAAAGTATACTAGCATTTGGGATGATAAAACTGATCATGACCTAATTAAACATATTTATATGATTTATATATGTGTGTGTAATGATGAATCAATGATGGCATTGATATATACATTATATATATGATGATGATGATGATGATGATGATGATGATGATGATGATGATGATGATGATGATGATGATGATGATGATGATGATGATGATGATGATGATGATGATGATGATGATGCTGATGCTGATGCTGATGATGATGATGATGATGATTGTGATGATGATGATGATGATGATTACCCTCTGTCTGCTATGGAAAATGCTGGAAAATGACCCATCTACTTCGATGTAACAACGATAATGAGTTGCATGTAAAACATCGTGATTACCAGAGGGCAGCCAACAATACAGAATTATAATGAATTATAATTATATATATGTATAAGAACATGCAGTGAGGGTTGAGGAAAAGATAGGAATGACTAAATCTAGATTCAAATCTAGATCTATGATGATCTGTGAATATACAACGAGCCGTTGGTTTCCCGCTGAATAGGGGTCTCCTCTCTCACTGGTCTCTACCTTCGACGTCATGCCTGGAGCAACAGGAACTCAGGATACCCAGGGAAAAGGAGCAAACGTGCGAGTACTACACGGCTCAAAACCTTCCATAGTCTCCATTACAACTACATCAGTCATCATATATTGATCTGCCCAACCTTTGCTACGATTGTCAAGGATTGCCAGTCCAGCCATGCCAAAAAGTTTGTCCATCCACTATACCTAACATGCGCTCATATGCTAAAACGCCCCTAAATTGCAATGTAACAAACTACCATGGTAGTGACTACCAAACCCCAATCAAAACATCATCTACAACGGATTTCCAGCAAGCCATGATGACCAAAGGGTAGCCGCGTAGCCGTGGAGATGGATCATCAACTCCATCTAATTTCATCTAAAACACCCTGGTTTCATATGGTTTCCATTATATATCAACCCCTATATCTCCTGCGAAATTCATTTAAACAAAAAAAACAAAGATGCTCCAAGAAAATCAGAAAAATCTTGAAAAAAAAACACATCCTGAGGGTCCCGAGACGCCTTGGGACAGCTTCAAGCGCCCCACCGCAAAGAGATGCAGCAGCAGCGTTCCCGTCCGCGCCACGCCGCGGGGCGAGGAGGGACTGGCGTCCCCGAGATCGCCGAGATCGCGACGCTCGGCGAGCTCGGTCTGAAGCACGCCCCACACCTTGAGATAGGGATATATGGCTCAATGCTTGGTACCCTCTGGTAAACTAACATAGCTATGGAAAATTGCTATTTATAGTGGATTTTCCCATTAAAAATGGTGATTTTCCATAGTTATGTTAGTTTACCAGAGGGTAATGTCTGGTACTTGAATATTAAATATATCCAACCACATTATATGTCACATTGTATTTATAAATATCTATGAGCCTCCATAGTGTGTGATTTATCAATTTATAATGAGTCCTATAATTATATGCGTATTTGTGTGTGTGAGAGATATTATGTATATGTGTGACTTACTATATCTGCTTATATAGTTACATTATGTTATATTTAAATCTGTCCATTTATCAATCTGAAACTTGAAAGCACGGCAACTGAGCACAATCCGCCAATCCGCATCTTTTCCTAGCTGAAACATGGGAAAATATATACATATCGTGGTTTCCTTCGTGTGTGTGTGCTGTTGTGTCATGTTGTGTCTTAAGTCTCAACCCTCCTAAGCTGTAACCCTCCAAATCACTGTAGCAGGGATACATTGTGTACGTGATATTACGTGATACAGTATGGTTTGACATGGATCATATGGGATACAATTGTGGTAGCTGGATGGAAATGGGATAATTTTCATGGGATGGGATGGAAAATCCCATCCCAAGCCTGGGATGCCAGCATTTGCCGCTATCGCTTGGCATGCACATGGAAGCTCTGAAAAGATATCAACAGGTCACGATGAATCACTATGACGCAGCATCGCGGTTGAAATCAAGCAATAGTCATCGAAAAGCGATGCGAAGACCTTGATAACTTGGGTCCTACCGACATTTGGAATTTGCCTAGCAGCCACCAAGTACCTACATATAACTACATAGAATCAACGGGTCTTCAGAAAGGTGCGACATTCAGATCCGTTTTTTTGTTTGTATACCCATAGGATCCATGTATGGTATATATGCTAACATTGGGGGTATATTGATGGTAAATGTTACCATATATAGCAGCACCATGGATCCTATGGGATATGGCACCTCCGAAACCGTCTCCGCGAGGTTCCCCAGAGCCGGATCTACTCGATGTAAAACTCCGATAACCTGCTTCAGCGATGGCTGCAGTGGAAGCTTCAAGCGCTCCAAAAAGTTTCCTCGATGTGAAGACTAGAGGTGGCAGGATGACTGGTAACATCTGGTAACTGCTGTGTAAGCTACAAATCTAAGAAATGATGCTTAAATCTATGGCCAACTTGGCCGGCCGGATGGCATCTGATGGTAACTTGACTTCACTTGGACTGCTAGCAGTATCTAGCAGTTGTCATGATGGCCACTGATGATCACTGATGATCACTGATGTCAACAACTTTGCCCAAGATGTAACACCAATTTGAATTTTAAAAAACAAAAACAGATATACACAATGAATCCACAAACCGATTTGAATGCCATCCTCAATTTCAAGCGTGAAAAACCATGAAAAACCCATCACAATGAGGTCCGCCAGGTCGCACTAGATTCTAACCATCAACTTGAATCAACCACAGAAACTTCAGTCAAGAGGCGTTTCTTCAGCCTCCTTCGATATGCCACACCGGCCACGACACCAGCTGCTACCACGCCAGAAATGACCACTGTCTTCGTGGTGGCATGGCGCGGCGTCTGCCGCGCCCTGGCAATGACGGGCAACGGGGTCAGCCGGAGGGCGGCGCAGGGAAGCGCAGGGGCGCCACAGCATGGCGTGGGTGGCAGCATCTCCAGTTTTTTTTGGAAAACATGTGGAAACATGGAGGGACCAATTCGTAGGATTTCGTGGGTTTCGTTTGGTACAATTTACACGACCGTGCCATTTATAGGTTGTGAGAATTTGGGAAATAGATGGAAATAGTGAATGCAGCTGCCAGTCCCATCTGCGACACGATCTCCATGTTTGCTGCTTGAATCAGCTACCACTTGAAACATCTTATACCCCCAGTTGCGGGTAGTTGTGACACAGGGGCAGCACGTGGCATGTGGATGCATGCGGCATGTGTCGTTTGCGAAGGGCGGGTAGCAAATGGCAGCTGACTGAACTGTCATGCAAGAAACACGTCATGCTCAGCCACTTGGCCTGTGAACCCAAAATCGAAGCAGTCAATGTTGATATGTCAATGTATTGATCTACGTTTGCTAACCCTATCAAGTGAGATCATATGGCTCCGAGACTCACCTACCACTTTGAAGTAGCCTTCATTTACGAACCGTGGATTCCAAACAAGTTCACCCAAAAACCTTGCAGTCAGCCCAGCCCCCTCACCAGCACCCTCCTGGCAGGACAGGGCAAGCACCCCACTGGATGAGCGTCTGGTAAGGCGAGTGGGGCTCCAGTGGCACCAAGGAGGGGAAGTGAAATTGGCGGATTCATGGGACCCTTTTTGGATATGCTTGGATCTTTGGGTACTGAATGAATCGAAGTCATTAAAATAATGATGTGGATGATTGGAATGTGGTCATGATGGATAGTCATCTTCGATATTGAAATGCTATCTGCTATGACATGCCATCATATGCTATGACATGTTCAGGAAATCTCAGCTATAACAGCTACTCAGCTACTCGAGAGGCACGCTGGTCTGTGTTGCTTGGTACACTGGTACACCTTGTGCCTTGAAGAATGACTATGTCTTATCATTCAGGGCTTATCATTCATGTGGAAATTAAATCCATAAGCCCCCCCAATTTTTTGATGGTTAATACCCACCCAGTTGACCCAGTTCAGGTCATATTGGGGATGTGGCTTTTTACTGTCAATAATAGGTTTACCAGGTTTACCAGATTACAATACATTACATATATCACACCCGGGTTCGGGGGCTCTGCACCTCCACAAGGGTGAACGACTCGTTGACATCGGTGTAGAAACTTCCTGGTGATACCGTGGTACCAACAATGGCGGGATCCGACTGAGGCTGACCATGAGATAGGGATGGATAGTGCGGAAGCATGGGGAAGCGATCCGAATCGAGAAATCCTGCAAGGCGACCTGTGCCTCATGGCACAATTCATCCTGAACCCTAACACCCACAAAAACCCATCCTAAAACCTTAAACTCTACACCCCAAGCCCTGAACTTTCACAACTCTGAACAATCCAGAGTAAAAACATGGAAAAACTTACACACCAAAACACCTAACCCCAAAACCCGGCTTCTTGAGCCCTTAAAAACGAGTTCGTGATTTTAGCGTAGTTTCGTAGATATTTCCCAGGAAACCAATCCATGTAGTCATGCGGATACCTACTTGAACATTAACTCATTGAGAAAGATTGTGACAGGAGATCTATAATGATTTAATATACCAAAGTTTGCCAAATTTTACCTCAATAATTCTGTTCAAAGAAAACCAGTAGTTCCATCGCAGCTTGCCCTGTGCTGTACCACTCCTCGCATCGCCAGCTCTAAGGCAGCCTGCGGCGGCGTTTTTTCATGATCTTGAAGATGCTTTCTAAATGGCGATAAGCCGTGTATCACTGGGGTATATATATATATACCCGTATGTATATATATATGTGTGTGTGTATTATGACATATTATGATATTATCCCACTATATCTGGGAAGGGTATCCCCGGTATCATAGCCCTTACATAGCCCTAACAGTTTGCTATTGAAAATGGCCATAGAAATAGTGGATTTACCATGATTTACTCATTAAACATGGTGATTTTCCATAGTTATGGGACAGTTTACCGGAGGGTATCATAGACCTTATATGCTGGGTACCTCCAATAAATCGCTTCCTGTTGCATGGCCACTGAATGCCACTGTGACATCTGCCCATCATCCCCCAGTCCTCGCCAAAGGCGTTGGTGGCGTTGGGGTCAGCCCTATGCCTCAGTGTCGCTGCGCATGGCTACACGCATACTCTCTGCTATCCTTGGCTGAACTTCTGACGCTTTGGTCGTGGCTCATATGAGTCGGTCATATATATAGTCAGTCATATGTATATAAACTATAATAATGTATATAAACTTTGGTCATGGGTCATATATGGTCATATAATGTATATGAATGATTATAAATGTATGATTAGCCATGTGTGACAATGGATCAATTTTTCGAATCAATTCTAGTGGATTCTGTGAGTCCTGCCAAAGGAGACTGGATTTTAGGCTCCAGAGGCTGAGCCCGCCGGCTTCAGAAGGAGTAAGACAACACCTGCCATCGATGGAGGCTCCACCCACTTTGGCCCTTCGCTGAAGGTGATGAAATGCCATGAATCAAGCCCCTCAAAAGACCAATGCCGCTACTTTTCCGGCCCTTGTGACCTCAACAATACTCAGAATCGTTGAACACAGAACACATATCTAAAAACACCCATATTGCGCGTCATCCAAAATCAAGAATCCATATTTATTGGATGGTTTGAATATGTTTGAATCAAGTAAACCACATAGAAACAAAGTGGGCCTGGATCCCCTCGACGAACGCCATCATGCAACGGGGTATGGCCCTGGCCGTAGCGGGAGGCTGTTCTAGTTTCCAATCTTTTCCCATCTTTTCCCATCGAGGCGTGTGGAGAAAAAAGAGGTTCGAAGCCATAAACCAATGCTGTATCACATATCATCACCTCTTTTATTAGCTGATCAGCTGATCCTCCACGAATTCAATCCCTAGTCTCATTGGTATTTTGACTCCTTAGGTCCCCTATATGTTCCCCATGGTTTTGAGGCATCCATGGATCATAACGACCCTCGGGCCATCCCAGCCATCAGGCATCGTCCGCCACCTCCGGGTCGTTGCGACGCTGTCCAACATCTGCCCGCGCTTGCAGAAGCATCTCCACCATCTGACCCGGCACCAGAGGAATCATGGGAATTGAGAATGATTGACCATGATTGACCCATGGGTCGGCTTTTTTGTAGATAAGTTTTGTAGATTCATTGTAGATAAGTGGGAGGTATACCTGTTATATAACTAATTGACTAATGGACTAATGATGGACTAATCAACGATGAACTATCAAACGGTGATTTAACATGATTTAACCCTTTGGTGTGCAGTGGGGTATAGTGAAATAAAAGTTAATGGGATAATGTAACATGTATATTATATATAATTATGTATATACAGTTTGCCTTGATTTTCCTTGGTTTGAAAAAATGAATAGTGATAAATACAAACGTGCAAGGCATAAACGCATATCTAACCCAAAACCACTTGATCAACCAATTTTATGACTGATTTCCTGATGCTGGGCAGTACAGCTGAAATTTGGACAGCAGCTGCACATTGAGTGCTTGTGAATCATGTTTGACAGTCCACAGTCCACATCTTCTTTCGCTGTAGCCTTTCGTTGGCCCGTGTCAGTGCAACGCGCGACAAACATGCAATAGACCTTCTCTAAACTCCAGATAGCTCAAGAATAATCATCCAAGAAAGAAATAGATCATTGGAATTGGATTAGACAATTATGACAAGAAAGCGGCACATCTTCCCGTGATCACAGCCTATTATAGCATATTAAGCATATTACTGCCATTGTTTGTGGCTTCGCCAAAAACCACACCTGCACACGCTCAGGAGACCGCAGCATGTTGGTTGACAAGGCCAGTTGCAAGGGGAACCTTGGAAGGGCAGCTGCGCCCATGTGTTTTTTTTTGCTAAGGAGATATCATTAGAATATATCGTCACCAACTATAGGGTCAAAGAAAATTCCAAATTGGATATGATATATATGATTATATATGTATATATCTCTGTTATATATGGGTAATAGAAATGACATGTAATAATGTAATATGGATGATAGAATGTACTGTGGATGATATGGCCAAATAGATCCAAATGAGGTTCGTAAATGGGGCCCCTCTTAATCATTGAAAATAGTTGTTAGCACCCCTCTACAAACAATATCAAACAATTGCCAATAACTTAGATGATTTTGATTGATTTTGGGGGTCTCCATTTCAGAAACCCTCAAATGGATCCAAATGACAGCTACACATTCTTTTTGGAGAAAATTTGCCCGGCAAGTGGGATTGAACATGGATATGACGCACTGACCCTGCAGTCTTTGTGGCCCAGTTCTGTGTAGAAGCATTGCAGTGTTTCCGAAATTGGGGAACCCTTAAACAACTAGCTAAAATCAATTGCAGTATCCCTACTTGGAGGTGTATGAATGGTGTATGTGCATATTACATATCTACTATCTACAATATGTATATGTAGATACGCGTGTATTTTACTTAGATAAATATATAAATAGATACATTTTTTGTATAGATATGTGATATATGTATATACAAATAGTTATATAAACATATATAAACAATATTAACAATTATTATACATATATGATTCTGAACTTCGTATGCAAGTTGTGGAAGTGTATGACTCTGCCCAGAAGCTCGCCCGTGTCGAAGGCCAAACAGCGATCATTGGCTTCCGCCTCGACGTCACGGTCCCACGACTCGGACGTTAAGGGGTTTCTGTACATGTTCCCTTTGAACCACTCCGAATGCTATGAGAATTCATGAAAATTTACATAATGTATCATAGATACCATCATCATTGGGAGTCTCTTGAACAGGAACATTTGGTTTTAGCATTGTGCCTCCAAGGCCTAGCCAGACCAGACCATGCCGTGGCGCCCGGCCGAATTTTCCAGCAGCAGCCGCACTGCCGCGCAGTTGCCCTATCCATGGGATTCTGAGGATCCGTTTTGGGCCCAGGAGTTAGGAGAAAACTTATGTTCAGCATCTAAGCTTTCATGGTTAAGGATGGTTAAGGCGGTCAAGGAGATTGTGGATGAACAATGATGAACATGGATCACTTCATTGAACGCTCTGCCTCATCTTAGTCTTACATATGTGGCTCCCAGCTGTTGAAACTGTCTGCTGGAGATGTTACTAACTCAAGGTCTTGTCTTCTTTGATTTTTGGCCGCGGCAATTCATCTCCACTCAGCTTCTTTGGCGGCCCTTTTTCAGCCGCTTGGAGTGGAGGAAAAGCAAGAGTATACAGGCCCTAATGGAAAATATATTATATACCCTTAGGATTCAAATGATGCCTGAAAGCTTGGGCAACTTATCCATTTCAAGCCAGGAATGTATCTACAAATAGGTCATCAACGAGTCCACTGCAGCCAACCAAAGCTGTGAATCAGGTCGCAGATGCTCAAAATGTGCCTCTCCCGGTACGTCCTGAAAAGGTGGAAGGGTGGGAACCGCTCCCTGAGGGAAGTTGAGGACGAACAAAAGAGGGCGTAACATGGACTGCTGGATTTGACATGATTTGATCTATATAATATGTTGAATACGTTTGGTTTGCAATTAGCTAGGACAAGGACACTTTCAGTTAACTTCTGGCCTTCAAAATGCATCTCGGAGCATCCGGCAGAGCTTTGACAAAGGCCTTGTGAAAGTTGGAGCTTTGCTCCAGCGGCACGATCATGTCCTGCTGCCCATGCACCAGCACAAAGGTTGGAAGCCTGGCTTGACGCTGATTGCAGTGCTGAGATGGTCTAGTTGTGGTTGGAACTTACTTGATTAGGGCCGTAGGGAGTATACAGTATATGATGTATATGGTATGTCCATGGTTGGAGAAGCGCGATGTAGGGAGTATACAAATGGCATATAAACTTCTTGTGGGAGTGCATTTACCGGCACCCGCAAAGCCACGAAAGCCGCAAATACACGGTGCATATTCTGTTCAGACTGCAGTATCTGCAGTGCAGCAGCACTACCACGATAAAAAAGCGAATCCTCCCACCTTCAGCCACAACAAATTGTTTCCATCATCAAATCAAAAGCAATGACAAACTGGCCACCTACATTCACAAAAAGTCCACCCGCAGCCGTTTGTCTCACTTTTTCACTTTTTACCCAAAACAAAACGGTGGTGCCGCCGTGGTGCTTGGCCATCTTCCCCACTTGCCCGAGCAGTTGCGTCGGATCTGCCGCCGCAAAGCGCTCCGCCGCGTCCTGCGTGGGGCCCAGTAACAGATCCTGAAAAGCGCCCTTGGAGGCTGCCAGCAGCTGGGAAGATGTCGAGGGAACCTCGGTGTTTCACCGGCTTTCACTGGATGTTAATGATGTTACTATAGTATCACCTGGATAGAAATCCTATGAGATTCTATAAAGCTTGATTTTGTTAAAGACATTTCAAAAGGTGGTGGGAAACCATCAGTTGTTCAATGTTGTGCCTGGATTCAAAAGGGGCTACCATCTGGTTTCTATCACCTGGCTGGCAATCGGAATTTCAAAAAATTGGACTATCATGTTTAAAGAAAGGTGGAAAAAGGCAAAGTTCTTCAAAATTGGCATGTGGAAGAACATGACCATCAATGATTTCATCCCCGGATAAACAAGCTCATTATGCTCATTGGCCCCGTTTTTGGCTGTATCCCCCACTTCACCAACCAGGCTTTATCAATACATATTAATACATTGTTCGGAATGCCAAAACAAATTGACAGGCCCTATATATAGAGCCTTTTGTTGCTGAACCATGCTGAACCCCCCCTATGGCTGATGGTTCAACAAAAAATCTTGCGGTCCAAGCAGCAGAGGAACCCAGGAAATCTCGCACCGCGCCTTGTCCCAGATTCGCTTCATAGGCTGACACCAGATCAACCACACCTGCTTGAGAGATGACCAGCGAAGCAGGAGGAACCTGGCGGCTTCCAGGCTGAAGGTCAAAAGATGTCAAAAGTCTGCACACCCTTGGGGTCATGGAGGTGATGGATGATGATATGGTGATATATGGTGATGGCATATGGTCCATGATACATGGTGATGATACATGGTGATATAGTATGTTGATCTATCTATCCAATCCAATCCATCTGTCCATCTGTCGGTCTGTGTGTGCGCATGCATATTTAAAAATAGGAATGTATAAATATCTGCAGGTTCTTCTATAATCTTCTATAGACATTGATGCAATGATGTATCTATATTTGAATCTAAGTGTGTGTGTGTGTCAATTGCATATCCTCATGAAACGTAACATACAGATCATGCTACAGAGTCTGATGTGCCGGGTCCACTTCTTGGTATGTAGCGTAGATTATCCAACCCCAGTTGCCAGTTACTATCACAAGAACTACTTGTTTGAGGGCTTGTCATCCTGGGTGGAAGGGATCACGAATCACAAAGACTTGCCCTTAAAGCCTTATCACTCAACCTACGACCCTAGGGCAACGGTATTGTCGATTCTATTCTTCAAGTTCTTGTTACCCCGCTACTCTGCCTGTGAACACCCACTTTACGATACTTTACGAACTCCGGGATCGCCCACGCACCTCCTTGGAAAACATGGGCTTCTCCAGCCCCTGCTGCAAACCCAGCCAGGTAGCCAGGTGCCCCCCTGCTGAGTGGCCCAGCAGCGCCAACGGCGCTGGCGCCCCAATGAGCTCTGCGGCCTGCGGAGTGCGGAGCCACTGCAGGGCCAGGTGGAGGTCCCGGAAGGTCTCGGGGAAGCCGCCACCAGAACCCACCTGGATGTGGAGATGACTTGGGGATGGATTGTGGTTGGAAGTTTGAAGGAAACCAGCAAGATGGATGGGCAAAATTGCTGAAGTTCTGGGAAACCAACTCTATCAACACAAATTAATTGCTTTCTTTCTGAGATGTCCATAGATTTTCCCAAGAAAAACAAGGTCTCAAAGGTTTCACTGGCACAAAACATGTAGAATCCACAAATTCCATCTGCAAAATGGCCCTGATGCCAGACTGTAATCGGGTCTATTGGGAGGGATCACTACTGAGGGTGAATAAATCGTTTAGCATGTATGGATCACTTCCAAAATTCATTGCCCATAGGATCCATGTATGCTATATATGGTAACATTTACCATCAATATACCCCCAATGTTAGCATATATACCATACATGGATCCTATGGGTTGAAGGCAGCAAATACCCGGTATGATCCGGTAAAAAATGCTTGGTATCACTTGACTAATTCGTTAAAGGACGCCAATCTTTCCAAGGGCACTTCAGCGACCGAAATATCCACACAAACCCATTCCCTTACCTTCACTAAAACCTTTCACCAACCCATTGATTTGCTGCGCAACGAGGACACGACTTTGGCCAGCACATGCGTCGAGTTTTTCTACCTCCTGCAATCTACAACCATGGTTTCACTCGGGTCTTGCATCATACAGTACATAATTAACGAAAATCAAAATCCTCCTCCATCAAATCTGAGAGTCCGATCGATAGTCGACATTCCACACGCAAAAGTTCTTCGAGACCAGGTCATCCGCTATCTTGACCATCAAGCTGCGATCGAAACCTGCTTTCCAAAAGCCACCATGGATTAACATAACGATGCCGCGGGGAGTTGACCCTGGTGTAAGCAGGTCACCCTGTTGCAAGCGCTCCGGACCATAGCTGACCTGGTGAAGTGAAAATCCAGGGCCAGAGGTCCAAAGGAGCAGCGTCAGCGGAAGCCAGGCGCGCCATTTATGTTGCATCTTGCGGATGAAAAATGAGACCTTTTGCTTGATGTCCAGGATGTCCAAGTGCAGGACTATGTCACTTCAACTGTTTGTTGATGGCTCATGATGTCATTGATGTATGTGTTTTTGTTGTCTTTCAGATTTCGGAGGCCATCCTTTTAAGCAGTCATTGAGACAAATCAAATCAAAGGAAACCTTGGATGCACCAGTTCCCTACACAACCAGATCCCTACAGCTAAAACCTTTCCCGCTTGGATGGCCTGTCGGACTGCCTCGTGCAAGGCCTGGCATGGCGTTGTCGAACACGAATATTGAGGTCGTCAGGGAAAATGGTGAATAACCCAGGTATAACTGGGGTATATGCCACATGCAAGTGGTAACAATTGGGTATAACTGGGTTATAGCTTATAACAAGGTGATAGTTATAACAATTTATACCATGTTATAATATGATATTGAAATGCCGCAACATTCTTTTCCGAGAGAGACATTCAGGCCGTTTCCTTTTTCCCAAAAAATGCACCACATGTGCCACATGAATTTCAAATGAAGTTGTGCTGACATACGACATGCAACTCCAATTAGACTTGGGCATTGGACCCTCCCAAATGGTCAGACCCTTTCCTCCACGTCCCTGAGCAGCCCATTGGTCCAGAGTTTCCCCACATGATCCCTTGGGCAGGCGTGTCGACGCTGAAAAGCCACCCTAAGCAGCTCCGCCGACCTGAGTTGCGCTTCTCTTTCCTTGTACCCTCTGGTAATTTAACATAGCTATGGAAAATCACCATTTTTAATGGGAAAATCCACTATAAATGGCAATTTTCAATAGCTATGTTAGTTTACCAGAGGGTACCCTCCGAGAATCAGGAAATGGAATCCCCTCAAATTACCCGTCGGCAATCACAGGTGGCAAGGGGAAATCCCCATAAATGGAGGTTGTCATGGCAAAATGCTCTGAAAAATCTGACAAGAATTTCGTCCATTGCCATGTTTGATTGTGAGAGGGTAAAAATGATGTTTCTTCATTATCCCACTCGGTAACTATAGAAAGGTCAGATTACCAAAGGGCGAGCTGGGAAACATTCTGATAAAACCGTGACCCCATTCCATTTCACCTATTGTGAGGTAACAGGTAACATCAGGTAACATATAGATGCAAAGAATCTAGCATGTAATTGTAGATTCAGAGCCATCCTGTTCGGGAAACTATGGCATGTGGCATTGGGTGTTCCATGTTAGCTTCAGGGATCCTCAGAGTATAATGCAGATCGTGGCGCTTCTCTTCCAAAGCACATCGAATGTCATCCTGAAACTCCTGGTCCCACAGGGTGGTCAGAAAACGTAGGCAGTTGGAAAAGAAGCAACAAGAAGGGTGGAAGCAAACACAACCATGCCTTTTTAGGTCTTGCAATGATATCACAATATATCACAACCATTGACATCATGACCTCATGACCAGGTATATAATGCTAGTTGTTACAATGTATCCAAATCATTGACAGCTTGAATGGTTGAATCAACACACAAATCGTCACAAATCCGCTTGCTTGTTCGCCCCCCGGCACCTTGCTACGTTGCTTGGAGCAGGGCCGCAACGGAGTTCGAATGTTAATGATCCGGGAGGGCCTGGGCGACGTGAGCCAAGAGCCGCCAATGACCAAATACAACATGGCACACACACAGACACACTGACATGCACATGAAAGTCATAGGGAAGCGAATTATTAACTTAACCATACTTAACAATTTTCCACAACCGCCGCACTTTTTGTTGGGTTCATGTATGTTCATGTTCCGTAGCACACATCAAATGTCATGAAGGCACAGCTTTTAGCACGGTACTGACTGAAGCCTGAGGGTTCATTCTACCCCAACCTAAGGCCAAACTGATCAATTCCCCTAATGTCTCTGGTAACCACCTTAGTCACTCATCCAATCCTCCGTATTTACAACCGCGACACATCCGGCTCAAATCCAACGTTTCAGGGGGATTACTAGTCAGAAGGGATTAACCATCTGTGAAGTTTGAAAATGGTTGGAAGCCGGGAGTGTCTCCCAAAGCTAGCACCATAGTTTTGCTGCTGGGCCCATAGTTTTTCTAGTGGGCAACGAGTTTGGCAAATCCAGTTGGCGTGAACTGCACCCCAGGGCTGTCAGGAACATCACAGCATTCACAGCACATAGGCTCTCCAACCAAGCTTTTTCACATCCACCAGGTTCTAGCTAGTCATATCAAGTAGCAGTCGCGCCAAGCAACGTGGATGCAACGATTTTGGAGGGTGTCGCCGCCGCCCCTGCACTTTGCTGCATGGATAGTACTTGGCATGTAACCCATGAGCATAAAACATCATAAAACACCATAATCAATAAAACCAATAAATACAGCAGGTCAAAGAACGAACATAAAGAACTAGGTCACTTCGCAGCTATACCCTGAATTTCGTAAATTTAGCACCTTTGAGTTGTTGACTTCAATCATGATCTCAAAATTTCATAAAGTTGAAGTGATCTTTAACGACAGCTGCCTGTCCAAAGCTCCTTTTTTCTTTCCTCCTTAATCCCAAAAATCTGTCCAGCGAGTTCAAGCTTTGGCAAATCATGCTTGGTCAGAGCCAATCCGATCCGTCCTTTGTTCCTTGGTTGTTATGGAAGGTCACTGGAAAATGTTGACATATATGTGAAAAACGTCGTGTATCTTCATGTTTAGGGAGCGCCATTCCAAATACAATGTCCAAATTGCATGCTGCAAACTGCCAGAACAAGACACATAATTACTAATGTGGCAAAACCACAATAATACACCGTCCCAGTCTTTAAAAGTTTGGGCAATTCTAAAAAAATGTTTAAGCATCCCATTCTAGGACCTGCTCAATTTCATACACCCCAGTCAGGGGTTCTGACTATTATTGGCTTTACATGGCTTTACCATGTTACGGTACTCCACTTGGCAAGGCTCGTGGCCAGAACGCGCGCGTCCAGCTTCAAACTCTTCAGCAAGTCCCGGGCTGCCGCTTGAACGTCCGTGGTATCCCAGGCCTGCCGTGACTTCCCATAGCCGGTCACAACGATGCAGTCCAACCGATCCCTGTCCTGCAGGTGTTTGGCCACCGTGGTGGACAACCACCATTGCAGTGTGAGACGGGCTGATCCTTCTGAGTGCTCGTGAAGGTCCACCATCCGATGGTGAAATTCGGTGGATTTGTGAAGAATGGGTAGCAAGCCATGCTGGAAGATATGCCCCCCAAGATTCTTGTTGCCATAGATGTCCCTACACGCAAGCAAGGCATTGTAGGTGACAATGTCTGGCTCAACTTTTGCACCAACCATAGCCTCGAACAAATTCAATGCCTGCTGCCATTGATCGCCCTTTTCGTATGCGCTGATGGTGGCACTGCAGATGATAGCATTTGGGTTCACTTTGATTTCATTCATTGCCTCAAATAATATCAATGCCCTCTGCCATTGACCACCTTTCTCACAGGCACTTATGGCCGCACTGTAACTTATGACGTTGGGTCTTACCTTATCTTGGCGCATTGCCAAGAGCAAATTCAACGCATGTTGCCACTGACCACCCTTCTCACAGGCACTGATGGTCGCACTGTAGCTAATGACATCTGGGCTAAGTGTGGATGAACACATTGCCTGAAATAAACCCAAGGCCTTCTGCCATTGAGCATTTTTTTCGCAAGCACTGATGGCTGCACTGTAGCTAATGACATCTGGGCTAAGTTTCGAGACGCACATTGCCTGAAACAAGCAGAGCGCGTGCTGCCATTGACCCCCCTTCTCGCAAGCACTGATAGTCGCACTGCGACTGATTATATCCGGGTTCAGCTTGGCCTGTTGCATTGTTTCCAAGAAGTTCAATGCCTGCTGCCATGCCCCAGCCTTCCCACAAGCACTGATGGTGGAATTGTAGCTTATCAAATCTGGATTGATTTTGTTTTCCCGCATCGCTTGCAACAAAATCAAGGCCTGCTCCCATTCCCCACCCTCACAAGCACTGATGGTTGCATTATAGCTTATCACATTTGGGGTCACCTTGGTTTCCTCCATCAATCTCAACAAATTCAACGCCTGCTGCCATTCCTCACCCTGCTCACAAGCGCTGATCGTCGCATTGAAGCAGATCACTCCTGGGTTAACATATGCTGCCTTCATTTCCTGCAAACACCCCAATGCCTGCCGCCATTCGCCGGACGTCTTGCACGCATTAATCAGCGCACCAAAGCTCATCACATCTGGCTTCACTTTGGCTGCCTTCATGCTTCCGAAAAGCGCGAGTGCCTGCTGCCATTTCCCACCCTTCTCCAAAGCAGTGATCACTGCACTGTAGCTGATGACATTTGGGTTTAGTTGGCCTTCCTGCATTGCCTCAAAGAGCATCAATGCCTTCTGCCAGTGCCCTCCTTTTTCGTAAGCACCCATGATCGCAGTGTAGCTCACCACATCTGGATTCACTTTGTGTGTCTTCATTTCCTGGTATAACTTCAATGCATGCTGCCACCCGCTACCCTTCTGACAAGCAGTGATGGCGGCATTATACGTGAAAAGGTTGGCAGTAACCTTGGCATTGGGCATCATATCCAAAAGACTGCAGGCGTGCTGCCATAGTTTGGACCTGCCGCAGGTTGCAATCCCAACCGTAAAATCGCGAGCGTCGAGCCCCAAAGTCCCTCTGAGCGCAACGGCAAATGCCTCGGTGATCAAGTGTGCACGTCTCTTCTCGGCAAGTGCTTTCAGAATCTTCTGGAAATGTTCCCGTGTAACTTTCAATCCTGCAACTTGCTCCGCAGCTGTCGACTTCCACCTTCTGTAAGGACCAGTGCGACGACGCAGCATGGCCAAACACATCAACTCTGTTTTAATTCATTTTGGCACCTTTACATTAAGGCGCTGAACATGAAATGTCTTGAGAGAGAAGCACGATGAATCTACAATGATCAAAGCAAGCAGTTGCCTTGTGGAATCTGGCCCTACATGCCATGCCCAGTATGTCAAGACGGGCTTAGACATGCTTGGACTTGTCAAACAAAAATAAAGGAGTACAGTACAGTACAGGAGTAGATCAACGAAATGCAGAAATGCATTTAGTAACTGTGATTAACTGTACCAGTTGCTGGTTGTCATAAAGCCATGAGCAACATGAAAGTAAGTCCATCAACGCATTGGCCAAAAGAACAACCCACCCCACGCCCACAACACAATTCACGCGCCCTTCATCAGCTGGTTCTCTGAAAATAGGCTGCTCCAAAAAATATCATGGCGGATCATCAAAACTTCCCCATGATAGATGTTTGTGTATGGGGTTGATTAAACTTAACCATTGATAACCCTGAAATCAAGCCTCTCCCGTCTCCCTCTCAGCCGGGCTTTAGCGGCTAAGGGCTGATAAGTCTAATGGGCTTCCGCCATGAGCTGAGCAGTATCCATCCCATTTTACATATTTTGCGGTTAGTTGATGGGTATCCCAGTATCCCTAGTATCTCAGTATGTGCAATAATCCCCGTTTGAAACCAGGTAGGCATAGGTAGGCCCCATAACAAATCAACCATCATCAGATTCAGATTTCAAAGTCTGATATCTGCATCACCAGGTAAAAAATGGTTAAACCCATGTTAATCCCATATGTTCAATAGGAAAATTTCATGGTTGATATTGGTTGATGGTTAAAAAACCCTTGTTGATGGCTAAACTTCCCCTTGCAACCCATGAATCGCGCCTCCTGTAGCATCGCTGCCTCGCGAGCTGCGGGCGCTGCGCGCCACGCGACCAGCGCTGGATGGGGTGGTCCCGAGGGCGCCCCAGGGCACTTCGGGCCTTGGAAAACATGGCAAGAACAGTCCTTGGAAAATGTCGTGGATGTGGATGATATAATTAAACATGTATAAACATGTCTGGGTGTGCAAAAAGATGCAAAAAGATGCAAAAAGGAAGTGGGGTTTGATTCATCCAACCATGCCGAACTCTTGCCACCTCACCAGAGCATAAACTCGAGATACAAATGGCCAGACTGTGTCTGCGGGTATTATCCTATGCCAAGCAACTGGCTCGGATGTACTGAAAGCAAGTTCCCCTAAACCCAGTGATTCTGGGACTATACCCTTAGCCAAAACATGCCAAAACCTTCAGGTTGCCTGGGTTCTCTACTCCGTGTCCAGTCAGTCAGTATAGAACTTGACCCCAATGCTGCCAATACTGCTCAAAGAGGTTCCACAGCTTGCGATGTTACGTTGGAAAAGCGTAGGCAGGCAATTATCCAAGCGTGAGATTTAAGGACGCAATCAGAGTGACCATGGCATACTATGGCCAAGAACTCACCCCCACTATAGCTTAAGGTCTGCATCTGAACGGTCTTTTGCCAATGTCAATTTGCCGTCTCGTTGCACCACCTTTTCTGGTGCCACTGAGGCAGCAGGGGATCTATCTATGTGAAATGGGCTGCATCTGCACGGAGAAAGGATTGCATCAACCATTTAATATGACTCAAGAACCCCATGGTTTGTTTAACGTGAAATTCCTTGACCCTGCAGATCTGGCAGCTTCAAACTGCTTTCGGCCATGAAATTTCCAGCCGCCAGGGACGTCTGACACGGGCCCTTCCGAGAGGGAAGGATGTACCATTGAGAGGTACAGGTTTTTTATCTTCCGAACATGGAATTGTCCAAATGTTGATTGGGTTGCGACAATGCAGAATCCAGAGTCCTTTCATGATTCTCCTGTTTTACCAGATAGGTTGGACCAGTGGAGGGGCCAAACATCCCATGTTTCGGTTCACAAATATGTGGTGACAGCGACCTCACCCTGATCCAAGTCTGCTTCGCCCTGGAAATGCTGCTGCAACTTCTTTTCAAAGCGATCTCTCACTTCCTGGGGGACAAAACGAACTTCTGGGGAACACACGGGAATGCCAATAATTACATCATGGATACATATATATATATATAAAATATATATATGTGTGTGTGTGTTAATGTATGTCATATGGAAGTAGGATGCCTATGTATCTATCTTAAGGCAATCCATAGGTATATCGACCTGATTCATAGTTCTTGGATGTTCTTGGTACACATGCATCAAAGGTTCCAAAAAAGCAGGCGGAAGGTATCAGCCCTACATAGCCCTACTATAAAATGGGCATCATGCTCTACCTTTCTGTGGCCCCCAGTGAAATGGCACTGGGATGCACTAGGCGTGTCTCTAGGACTCTAGCACCTGTGTTGTGTGTATCCATCACAGCCAATAAAAACTGTTTTTGCTTAATTGCTTCAGTGATAGCATGTGTTTTTTCGGCGGCACGCCTGACATCATGTGTGGTTGGATTTGGCTGAAAACACCAAGTTTTGAGAAGCTGATAGATATAACCTCCGGTTTGACTCAGTTTGACTGGAAAGAACGAGGCTGGGTCACACTGAATGCCTGTGAAAAAAACGCAATGCTTGTTTCATTATACACATGCAATTTTTGGTTGCTGAAATAGCCCTTGTCTTTCAAGACATGTTGCATCCATCATGCGGTTCAACTGGATCGTTGGGGCCCTCCAATGCTTGGACCCCTTGCATCATCTGGGTCAAAACTCAGCCAGGAAACTACACAGGTTGACTAGTGTAGTGTTGATCCTCAATTCAAAAAACAAGACAATGAGCTTTCGAGATCTTTTGAGCAAAATCAAGGATAGCAAGGTAGTATCAATACTTCTCCCAAGATTCTGAACAAAATCAAGGTATCTAAGTTTGGGGTTTCCTAGTGTGGTCCATCTCCCATGCTCCAAGGGGCTGCACGCAGCAAGGCAGCTGCAAGCTGAAATTGCTGTTCACCTTCCTAGCGCAGTTGTGGTCAAGTGGATATCTATCCTTTTTGGATCTTTTTGGGACTTGCGACTAATAAACAAAGGTAAAACATGATGGAAAAAAACAACAACAAAGTTGCGAATATGTCACAAGTATGCGGCTTCAACCAACAATGGCTAATGGAGATGAAATTGCTGCAAAAAGGTGAAATAAAATATGATGAAGCGGAAAAGAAACTGATGTGACCCGAACACAGGTTGGCATATTAGTTCCAAAAAATTGGCAGGTAAGCGACCAGCGGAATGTTTGACCAGCCACACTTCAAAAGACCATCCCAAAGAGTTCCAAATCACTTGGTCGGAAAACTCATTGGGTTTTCCTTTTCTTGCTGAGTGTTCATGGAACCAGTCATGTATGGTTTCCTACACTTGATAGTTCATCCCACTTCGTAAGTAGGTTAGTTCACATCAGTTACAAACGGATTATCCCACTAACAAAACCAGGGATATAACCTAATGTTAAGTTGATAGTAATTAATAAGCAGCCCGAATTAATCAACACCCACATTCCAAAAAAATGTTTAGCAATACTACTTTGGGTTGGTCCCTCCCTATTAAAAAAAAAAGCACGTGCGACCTTATTAAACAACACCCTGTTCAGAACATCCGGATTGTGGTAGTCAGGATACATGTTTAGATAAATGATTTTAATTTTTCGTTTCATTGTTTTTACTTGTTGACCAGTAACAGTAATGTCTTGCAGGGATGTCCCATGCCCAATCTCACCATCTCACCTTGGGATGAGCCACCAAGTGCCGTCCCAGACTTTTCATCAATCCCCATGATGAAATCCCACTAAAATCCAACTGGGATGAGTTAAGTCATGTTGAATGCCATTACTATTCATGAGTTGAATTCCATTAAATCCCCATGATTTATGGATATTTATGGATATCATACGCAAATATACAATATGTTGACCTTGAAACATCCCGTTAAATCCCATTATGAAATTCCATTCTTGGATCCTTGTGAAATCCCTCAAATTTACCAGGCCACTGACAGGGCTGTACCGGCTTTGAGCACTTCCTCCGGGTCCATCAGCTTCCGCACAGCCTGTCACAGGGTGAAAGGGAAGCAAATGCAGGAAAATTACTGGGTCATTGTTATTGGCTATACTTTTTTCTCTCCTGGATGTTCATGACATTTCTGATTTTTTTTCAGGGAAATTCAGCAAAACTTGCAGGGCGTGCCGGAAACTCCATGGGCTTCAGATCCGTTGACTTGATTACGGTTGGTGCAAAAGATTTTTGTTACAGAAAAGCCATGGTTCTCACCATTTGACATTTGGGAGTTCGCCCATTGACCTCTTCTGACCTCTGGGTACCCCATTTTTTCAGCTGGCCATGCTCCCCAAGACACTGGTGCCTCCACCTTTGGCATGGGACCCCTTTCACTGAGGGCTGGGAAACCAAATGCCCGGCCGAGGCGATTGAAGTTGTCCTCAGAATTCGCCCTTTGGAGCTCCAAAGTGGATCAACACGGTGGAAAATTCTAAATGGAGCACCAGGAAAATCGGAAAACCTATGAAAATAACGGATTGAAATATGATTGAAACCCAATCAAGAATTGACAAAATCCTTTGAACATCAAAATGAAGGCTAGCGACCCTGGAAGAAAACATGATGTAACATTTCTAAGGTCCTTTAAACAGCCTTCATCGCACTGCTGCCCACACCATTTTCTTGGGTTTCCACGTGTGACCTGGGATGAGGCTTCGGAAGATCATGGTACAACCCTGCAAAGGGGATTTGATAGCTGAACAAGCCGTCCCTTCTCCGAGTACTTTTTAACACGTTATGCCATGCATCATAATACACATTTTATAATATATATATATACACTTATTTATTTATGTTTATTAATCTATATTAATTTATATGTATTTTATATTTATTTTATGACTTATTTACATCTCAGATATCTTAACCTCAACCACATCCAGTTCGCCATCCAGTTCGCCATCCCGTCGTCGAACGCCAGGTTTCCAGCTGCGAGGCGGTCATCTTCGAGATCTCCAAGCGCTCCGAGAGCTGCTCGCGCGCCCTGCGCATGGCCTGCGAGAGCTGCACCTTGCGCAGCTCCGAGACGTGGCCCACGCTGCGGCCGCAATCCTGGATGGGTTGGGGTGGGTTGGGTGAGAAATGGTGCTTAGTTGATGTAAAATGATGTAAATCTCGAAGTGAATTCATGGATATTCATGGGATCACATGAAAATTGAGATCAAATTGAGTTGGACATCCAGTGCTGCAACGAAAATCAAACATGGTGAAAAAGTAAAAATGTGTAAAAATGATTGAAATCCATCCAAACAAGTTCTCCCTGGGACCCCAAGCATGTAGGCACTGAGGATGTCTCAGGATACATTGGAGCCTGAGGCCCTTTAAATGGACGCATGAAGCCACAGCAGGCCTGTCCTCAAATTGTTTCTCCACCTGTGGCTTTGGAAGCTGAACTACTAGGATACTAGGACCAGGATCAAGATTGAACCTCACCTGTGGACACCCTCACCGGACACGACTTAGTAACTCACTATTGTAGCTTTCAGAAAGTGCGGAATATCCCCTGGTTATCCACTGATATTCCCAGCAGAGGGGTTGTAGCCCAGCGACAACGTCACCAAATCTTTGGGATATCCGAAAATCAGATCAGCACTGGTGTTTCAATGCGTTTGGTCTAATCTCCAGAAACACAAAATATGAGATATTCCCAGAAATTACTCGGATCTTTTTGCAAAGGAATATGAACAACTACCTTCAGAAATTCCTGGGCAGGTTAAGAGGAATAGAGCAGCTTGGCACGGATACAATTGATCGGATATAGCCGAGTCAATTACTGACCATGGGCATCCTGATTCGAGGGATCTTCCTCATGTTGTGGAAAGTGTATCTATCTTCCAGTTGTGCATGGGTGCTGAAAAACTTGAGTTTTTTGATTCTTTGCCACCAGCGGTAAATTGGGTTAGAACAGCTATAAAGCATCCATAAGTGGAAGTTAACCCGTAAACTTAATATGGGGCCTCCAGACATGTTGTCCCGAAAAAATATGATGTTCCGTCTCATGTTGAATTCCAGGGGTGTAACTGGAGTTTGTTCCCCCTTTTGAGCCATGAACGTGCCATTATCCTATTCCATCATCTATCCGGCGTACTGAATTGATAAATACCTCTGATGATAATAATCCCCAACAAACGGACATGCATGACCACTGCAATAACCAATCTCCATTGTGGTGTACAGTAAATCAAGAGTAGCAAATCCTAGTTACAACCCTAGAAACCACCAATATTTCTTTGGTTTCAACCCCAACTATATAGGGTTTTGTCTGAACATAGGGTACCGCAAAACCCCTTGGTTTATCATTATTTGCGCCATTCAAATAGCCTTGATGTGGGGGAAATCCCAAATCCCATGAGTCGCCCATGAAATCCCAGTAAAATCCCCATGAAAAAAACCAGAAATAAAACCTTTTTTGAAGTCCCAAATCAAATCCCATTCAAATCCCATTCAAATCCCATAAAAGCCAGTTAAATCCCAGTAAAATCCCCATGAAATCCATGAAATCCCCATGAAATCCCCATGAAAATCCCCAAATAAATCGCCGCTTTCGGCCTCGAGGATGATGCTCTTCACCTCCGCAGAGCTCCTGCGCGCGTTGGAGCGCAACTTCGCCAGGTGCTGACGCAGCTGGAGGAAGGTGTCCTCAGCTGGAAACCATTGGTTATTAATAGTATATAATAGTATATAATATATGATAGTTAATATTAGTTTATAATAGTAATAATAGATTATTGACATAATAACAACTGTTGATAGATGAGTATATAATAGTTAATAATAGATATCGTAGTTGATTGCAAATTGTAAATCTAATAACCATAGATATTTAATAATACCTATAGTTAATATTGATAATTGTTAATAATAATACATTAATGGTGCATTCTTATTATGATTGACATAGTAGCAACTGTTTATAGATGATCTATATGATATAATAATAGATGATTGTTAATTTAATAATGACAACCCACTAGCTGATTGTAACTCTAATGACTATAAACATTTAATAATTGACATCCATAACTATAGTGTAGGATAGTTAATAATAGCTAGTTCATAATAGCTAATCTTGATAGTCAATATCTGTAGTTAATATTGATGGTTAATATTAATAGTACATTTATGGTGCATAATGGTTGATAGTTCATAATAGCTAATAATGCTAATGTTCGCTATTCATCATCTATAGTTAATGCTGACAATAATAAGCCAATCGCTATGATTACATATGATAACATATTATAACATTACATATGGTTACAATACCAACCATGACAATCAGCTAAAAGTGATTATAGAATATTATGCGTGCAACTAATGATTATATAACTAAGGGCTATTGATATTTGTGAAAGGTAAATCATCATTTTTTAGTAGGAATTTACTGTTCTATGGTTTTGGAAGCTGATTATATAATGGTATCTCAAAAAATTATTGAATCATATTTCAAAATACTTAATAATGGTTAAAATAGTATTTGATAGCAGTTAAGAATAAATAAACAATATTCAAAAACAGTTACCAATGATATGTCTAATGATACTTCATAATGAAATTAAATAATGATAATTTAACAGGATCAATCTTGATGATATAGCCAGGTAATGGGGAGCTGATAATTGCCTGATATGACATAACATTATCAACTACTACACTGATTTATTTAAACCTGGTAATGATATAGCCAGGTATATATAGTTGAGATTCAGAGGTTTATTATTGAGTTTTTCAGGGGTATTTGAAACCTGATTATTATGATAAACTCCTTTCCTTGATCCCACACAAAAAGGAAACCCACATCGGAAGCGAACAAGCTTCCAAGAAGTTGTGGGGAAGTCGCCAGTCAACACATGGGATCATGTGGTCATGAAATAAAGGGATGATGATTACTATTATTATTAATTATTATGATGATGACGATGATGATCATGTTTCTGTTGCATCTAAGCATCTTCCATCTCTCTCAGGGCATTGTGCCCCTTCTGCATCATGGCTTGCAGGTCCTTGTTAGCTGCATCTGTGATCCTGGGCGATCGATGCCCCCTGGCAAACATGTGATACCTTTTTGCTATGGAGGAGCCGTAGTCAAGACTCTCACATCTACCAACGCTCGAAAACGCCACACTTCGACAGAAAGTGGCGCTTGTCCGCGCTAAATTCTTGATCTATGTGTTGCTTTAAACAGGGGTAACTCAGGTGAATTCTCTGGATTCCTATGGATTCCTCATAGGTCATGTCATGTCGCATATCTTCAACCGCCAACGCGCCCAGGTGGATCAACTGCACCAGGTGACTGGATGCACTTTTTCTGCAGGTGATCCACCTGCAGATTGTCTGCTTCCCCAGCATTGGCCGTGAGCAGCAAAATTCCAAAGAGTAGCCTCGGAACTGGCCGCAGAGCTGGTGAGCAATGATCAATGGCAAGTGTATCGTGTGTAACTCCAAAAACAAGACATCTTCTGCGGGAATCACCAGATGAAGCAAGGTGCTCGGAAATCATCACTCCATGATGTGAAGAACTCTCCTCCAAATGATCGAAGAGCTGCAAGAACTCCTGCGCCAGGGTCTACATCAGGTCATGGTGACGCGTGGGATTATCCACAGATACTCTGCATATATATATAATTAGATTGATATGCGAAACATGATATCACCATATATGATATGGCTGGTTGATTTCTGTTTTGCCAGAGCTTCTCAGAGAATTTGCCCCACCACAGTGTCCGCATCTTCGCGTGGGCAAAGGTTGCCAGGTGGACGTAAATTGAAATGACAAACTTAGCGGGGAATACTGGGTTGTACAAAATGGGTGAGACACTGTCATAAGCTACAGTGATATTCGGTGATGGCTGCCCAATGATAGCGGTAATCTGTGACATTCTGTCACTCTGTGCTCGGAGTGTCATTGCCACCAAACCGGTGAGAGTCTGACTTCCAGAATAAGGCACTACCTGGGCTCTCGAGACCTCATACCCCTAGTTTTCTTGCTCAAATCCCCCAAATCCCCACCGAACTAGCGTTGCCAAACCAAGACAACACACTGGCGGTTCGAAAATCCGAACTTTCCCAGTAGGATGACCGATTTTACAGCACCACTCCTCTGCCGTGATACCTTGGGCTCGCAACTCCTGGCCAGGAATTGGATGGACTTGGAATCTCCCCCGTTTTTGATGCGGAGAAAACCTCCTGATGGAACCATGGTGACCTGGTGGGTATAGTATCTACATAGTATCTATAGTTTAATGATAAAAAATATTGCATGGGCTACTTTAATTTGTAGCATCTAGCCTCCGGAAACTTGACATAGCCGCAGCCATAGATGGTTTGCCTATTTTTTCCAGTGCCATGTTCCATGGCCATGTTGGATTCCCAGAGGCTACTCATTACAACAGTCCCATCATGAATTTAATTCTTTAGTTGGACTCATGAATTATATCCCATAATATATCCCACTTAATTAGTACATATATCATTCGTAAATCCTCCCTCAGTTTAAATCTATCTATCATATATCTATCCTGTATTCCATCATATCCCATTATATCCCCATGATGGTCGGTTAAATCCCCATTGTTGCTTGCTTAATGTCATCATACATCCATTGCATCCCAACTATATTCCCTCCGTCCTTGTTTTTCTAGTTGAATGAAAATCAATATCACTATAGTATAGCTTGCCCATTTGGTTCGATGATTTACCTATCATATAAAAATGATGATGTTTCATAGATCTATTCCATTATATATAAGGTGGTGCCCCCGCAGTTATACGTTGATTTATAAAGCATAGTAACTATGGATACATCTAACATAAATCATAGTTATTGGAGATATAAACCAAGTTAGCCAACTATGGGGCACCACATTTTTTACAGATATGTATAGATATGATATATGCATTATTCGTCCATGTTTCATGCTTAAATCCCCATTTTTGGTGCTTAGACCACCATTTTTGGCTGGTGAAATCCCTTGGCAAAGCGCCTCATGGGCCTCTGGCAGGATCTTTTCCACAGCATCGCGGTCCAACATCACCATGTCCTCCTCGTTGCCCGCACCACCCAGGAGCCTTGGCGCTTGACTTGGCCGTGTTGTGGCAAACACGTGAGGGATTAAACATAAATATATATATATATTTATTTATTTATTTGTTTAAGGCATCAAAAAAAAATATATCCCCTGTTTTCTATGGCCCTTGCAACAGTTTGGAGACAAAACCGAGCATTTCTGTGCTATTTGCATCGTTTTGGAAGTGGAGCCTCTCGCTCGTAAGGTTTTTGCAGGACATTGGACCTGGAAATCCAGCATTCGCAGGGCTCGAAGCTGCCGTTTCGACAGCACCTGCAACACTTTGGAGTTCGAACCTTTCATTTTCGATTGTTGCTTTGAAACTTGCGTTGGTTTAAAGTTTGTTTATGTTTGGTTTAGGGTTGATTTAGGCTTGGTTTGAGGTCTATTTCAAGTTGGTTTAGAATCTAATTACGGTTGACTTAGGTTGGTTTAGGGTTAGTTTAGGGTTGGCCTATGGTTTACTAGGTGTCTATTCAGGGTTGGTAAGAGGTTTATTTAGGTTTCGTTCAAGTCTAATCTAAAATTAGTTAAAGTTTTTTGGTATAGGGTTGGTTTAGGGTTTATTTTGATTTCGTTCACGACTTTGTGGTTTAGGTTTCGTTTGGGATCTATTGAGGGTTGGTCGTTTGTTTATCTAGGGTTGGTTTAATTCGTTTATATAGGTGATATTTAGGGTTGGTTTTAAGGTTTGTTTAGGGTTGGTTTTAAAATTTGTGTAGGTGTTGCTCAAAGTTTTTTAGGTTTGATTCACGATATATTGGGATTGGTTCGTGGTTGCTTTCGGTGTTATTTAGAATTGGTTCAGGGTTTCTTTAGGCTTGGCTTAGAGATTATTTTGGGTTGGTTTAAAGCCTTGGTAGGTCTTGTTTCCCGTTTCTTTAAGGTTGGTTTAGTGATTTATTTCTGGTTGGTTCAGGGTTGGTTTAGGATTTATGCATATTTATGCAGGGTTGGTTTGTGGTTTATTTGGGTTTGCTTAGGATTTATTTAGGGTTGGTTCGTGTTTGTTTAATAAATGTTTTTTAGGGTTTATTTACGGTTGGTTTATGGTTTCTTAGAGGTGGCTTAGGGTTTATTTGGGGTTGGTTTAGGGATTATTTGCGATTGGTTTAAAGTCTATTTTGGTTTCGCTTACAACTTTCTTGTAGGTTTCGTTTAGGGTTTATGTAAGGTTTGTTTGGGGTTTATTTAGGGTTAGTTAGGGCTGATTGAGGATTGGTTTAGGGTTCGTTTAAGACTTACTTTGGCTTGGGGGGTGGTTTAGGGGTTATTTAGGCTGATTTAGGGTTTTTTACGGTTGGTTGAATTAAGGGTTATCTTCAAAATGTTTTAAGGCACTAGAGTCACCAAAGGACGGAAGGACCAAGGGACCAGAAGACAAGAGGACCAAGGGACCGGAGGACCAAAAGACCAGAGGATCAAGGGACCAAGGGACAAGAGGACCAAAGGACCAAGGGACCAAAGCACCAAGGGACCAGAGGACCAAGGGACCAGGGGACCAAGGGAGAGGACTGGAGGACCGGGAGATTCAAAGACCACAAGATTTGAAAATTGCATAAAAGGGCCAAAACACTGCACCAGCGCAGGAAAAAATAATATTTTTTGTTGATCCCTTAAATATTTTTTTTGAACCCCATGCGTGTTGTGGCGCGACAATGGAAGGGGAAGATCAAATGTGTAGATGTACAACACACACACACACATATATATATATATATATAATAGTGTATACTTGTGTTGTGTACATATATATATATAGTGACGTGCATATATATATATAATATGTTTGTGTGTATTACCATGCATGTATGTGTGTGAGCATGTGTGCATAATATTAGGCGCACACATATACTATATATCTACATGCTATAATATGTATATATATATACATATGTATATACAATGACTTGGCATAACAATACCCAAATCGTGAAAGAACAAGGCAAACAATGACGGGCCAAAGCAGCAGACATGGTGATCTTTGGACATGTAGCACTTGCAAGTGCAGTTGTGGTGTCAACAATGTATGAAAATAAACCTGCAAAAGAGTGGGTAAAACAACAATAAATCACCCATTTGGGAATGGTAAACATACCACCTATTTATGGTGATTTGGGGGATGGTTTACCACCTATTCATATTGCGAAGCACTACTCTGGAGGTTGGGCCTCAGGGAAGTCAAGATCCTCTGAAAACGCTCTGCCTGGCCAGAGGCCCCCTGGACCCCAAGAAACACTTTACGATCGACGTGGACCAGCCAAGGAACGACGACAATGAAATACATTGCTACGACGAACTAACCATCAGAAATCATAATCTGGGTAAAGCAATGCCATAAACCATCCCCCAAATCACCATAAATGGGTGGTATGTTTACCATTCCCAAATGGGTGGTTTATTGTTGTTTTACCCACATGAATGATATTATGATAAGTACCACGCCTGCAGGATGCACCCAAAGACTCCGAAATATGGATGCCCCCCGACCGTCAAAAACACACACCCCGCACCATAGCATGTGGGGAAAAAGTATGAACAAGTGGCTTTCCATGGCTTTCCCCCTTTCCAAGTTCCAGGGAATCATAAAAAACATCCCAATATCTTTAACATAACTTACCCAGCTATTGAAAATGGCCATAGGAATAGTGGATTTTCCCATTAAAAATGGTGGATTTGTCCATAGTTTTTTGGACAGTTTACCAGAGGGTATCATTCCAAACCACCCAGAGATTCCACCACCAAACTGTGCTGAGCAGCTTCTCTTCCAAGGTGTGAAGACCAAAGAGCCGCTGCCGGACTGTTTCGGCCTCGGGGATCGGTATGGCTGGTTCAGATGCGACATGATACAACAATCCATTGCTTACCCTCTGGTAAACTGTCCCATAACTATGGAAAATCACCATTTTGAATGGGAAAACTCACTATAAATGGCCATTTTCAATAGCTATGTTAAATTACCAGAGGGTAATGATGCTTGATGTGCTCTTTAAACCCAATATCAATATCCACCAGAATTTTGGACCCCAAATTAAGGCAAATCTCTCAGAATTTGACCATTTTAAGGTCGGGCTCAGCCCGATATGTAGGGTGCTTGAACATCAGGCTAAAAGCGTAGCCTGACCCATATGGGTGGTTAATCCGTTCACCGTCAAACAGCCGAAATTGTTCCTCCTCTTCGAACATTTACTTTAAGAGGGTGGACTATCCAACACTAATCCGTTCTTCCTATTACTAAACCCCCCTAAATAATAAAAACTACCCCAGATTATTTGTTTTGGGAAATTTCAGACTGGTCAATTCGACTTAAAATTGTTCCCTCTAGAAAACAATTGAAAAATCAAGGTCCATTTGAAGGTTCTACCCCCTTGATAATAGAAACTAGTTAGCCCCGGGGTGTTTTTTATTAGGGTCCGTTTGTTAAAATTTCAGTTTTTGTTAATAGGGGAAAGCTTCGAAATCCAATTTTGGCAATATTCTAATTAGATCCTAAAAAGGAATTTATATAATCGATTTTGAAATCGACAATTTTAGTTTATTCATTATTAAGGTAATTTAAGGTATATTAAGGTGTTTAATTTGATATTGGGAGCCAGCTTCTCCCCCGAATATTAAATACATTTAAATACCCCCAACAATAAAAACTACCCCTACGTTTCATTATTTGGGGTGACGTTTAATATTAGGGTGAAGGGATTAAACATACATAATGATCATAATGGTATCCAATCTACTAAACTGGATTAATTAGTGGGTTATGATGCATTTCCACATTATCAATACATTGTCAACCAAGTGGATACCCAGGCGCCACCTATTTTGGGGTTCACGCTACTGGGGGACCATCCCACTGAGCCGTGACGCATGGTTCTTCTGCTCAAAGTCTTCACAGGCACTATGTGCGAGCTCGTAAACCTGGCATCTCCCAAGTCTGGGATGGAAAACACGGTTTCTCCTGCATCGGTGGTATCTCAGTGGTAGAAAGAAACCTTCCTTTTCTATCCTTTTCTTTTAAGCATAGAGACCCTGACATGTAATCGTGAATCATTGAATTATGGCAAAAACCTATGTATGGTTTCCTGCACTGAAAAAAATGAAAAAAATCCTTCACCCAATGAGCACTAAAGTTAATGGTCAGCACCTACGAATCGACCAAGGGACCAAGACGACGGCCTGGGTTGATCCCCAGAAAATCCCAACCACAATAAGCACTACTATATAGCATGAAACAAATTGTGGATCAAATTATCACTGAATATATTTGATTATCTACTATATAAATGGATTACATGATTGCAAAAATTAAGTATATATATATATAGATATATATGCGCATAGACAGATAGATGAGATTAGATGAGATGAGATTAGATTATATTAGATTACGATTTAGCTTTAGATTGAGATTTGGATTAGGTCAGATTAGGTAGATAGATAGAATGCAACGGACTGTAGTACTTACAACTCTGCAATCATGCCGTGATATCAGGATATCTGTGCACGATACCCGTTTTCTACAGGTTTCAAACGTCTGGCTTCACTGCCCCCGGACCAGCACGATCATGGCGTTGGTGGTCACCAAACCAATCAGCGAAAGCAGCAGCACAAATGAAAGCCTCGCTTTATTAGTGGGGTTGACTGGGTTCACTTATGGGGGGGTCATTGGAAAACCATTCATCGGTGTTTCATCTGTTTTTCCAGCTGTTAAGTCTGGGTGTGATCCTGTTCAGTTTCACCATTCTCGTTGGTTAGAAGTGGTTATGTCACTAAATGTCACTGCATTTCCACATAGTCAAAGTTGCTAATTAACCATATTAACACATATTAGCCATAGTTATATGGTATATATCCCCATATGGGGGCTCCGTACATTCGATAATTCAGTAGCCATTGTTAACCATTATTAACCATTGTTGTAGGATGTATAATACGGCGTATATTATATATATATTTTTTAAAAAAAAAACATATAATATATTTAAATAGAATATTATATATATATATATTACATTATACAATATCCTATAGATTATACATTCTATATTATATAATATATTTTACATATTATATATTACATATTATACATTGTATGTTATATATTAGATATGATACATTATATATTGTACATTATATATTGTATATGTTTATTATATATTGTATATTATATATTGTATATTATATATTATATATTGTATATTATATGTGTAACAACTATATATATACATATTATTATAGAATATTATAGATATTGTGATTGCGCCTAACACCCCAGATACAAGGGTGGTAAATTGGCTAAATATGCGGCCAGCACTTGAGCCATGCCCCAAACTCTTTCGGGATGATTGTTGGGAACCTCCGTCTGGGTGATCTTTACAGTACTTGGTGGCCTTCCACTATGTTGAGATGTTATAGCTTGATGTCTCTGGGTTTGCGAACCCAGGGACGTGTTTGATATTGTTTGATGAACCTCTGCAGGGCATCTGCTGTCCGGCAATCCTGGTGTTCAGCACTTTTTACATAAATCCGAAAAAACCATAGGAAAAACCCTATAAAGAAACCCTAAATGGACCCTAAAGAAAGCCTAAAGAAACCCTGATCAAACCATATGAAGGTGTATATAGATATAGTGAAGTACCTGTGGGGTGTAGCGCATGTGCTGCGGGTAAATATAGAGGTAACATATCCAATTCACACCCATTTTGGCTATCATTTAACTATCATGGGTTGGAGTAATTCTGTATATCACCCCATTTCTATAGTTGTTTGATCATTAATAACATTAATAACTATTATATACTACTAGTGACCATTATTAACCATGGTTACATCTAGAAAAAAAAAGAAATATGGTTATATCTACTATATCTATATACTATATATGTGGAATAGTATTATAGCGTATGGTTCACAATGACAATATAACCATGTATCATATATCTATCCAGATCTGACCATTATTAGCCGTCACTATTTTATTTTCATCATAGTCAGTATTATATAACCATGGTGGTAATTATTAACCATCATTATTGTCATCATTTTGTCATCATTTTACTAACCAAAAAATAGCCACCAGATACCACCATTAAATTACAATCATTACTTACATCATATCTAGGAGAGAAATTAAACTTTGATGCTTAATAGTGGTGCTTAATAATGGTGATTCATAATTTTAGTTAATAAGGGTGTTTGATAATGCTGGTGAACCATCCATTAATACCATTAATGTTGGTAAAACAACAATAAACCATGCCCAATTTCACCGTTTTTATAGGTGGCATAGACCATTCCCAACTGGGACATTGTTCTAACCACGTTCTGAAAACCAACATTTACCTGATATCTAGGAGCGGAGAAAAAAAAACATTGATGGTCAAAAAATAAAAGTGTTTAATAATGGTGTTTTTCATAATAGTGGTTAACCACCCATCACCATCTCCAGGAGTCTAGCCAAAGGGTAAAGGCGAGCCAAGCCCACCATTATTAAGTATTAACCACCATTATTAACTATTAACTATTGTCAATAATGCTTAATAATGGTTAATAATGGTTAATAATGGTTAATAATTGGTTAATAATGGTTAATGATGGTTAATAATGGTTAATAATGGTTAATGATGGTTAATAATGGTTAATAATGGTTAATGATGGTTAATGATGGTTAATGATGGTTAATAATGGTTAATAATGGTTAATGATGGTTAATGATGGTTAATGATGGTTAATAATTGTTAATAATTGTTAATAATTAATCGTTAATAATGGTTAATAATGGTGGTTAACCATTATTGACCCGTTTTTTCACCCAGGTACCGCAAGAGGTCTGCGTTCCATCCGCCGGAGATGCCATCGGTGATGCGACGCCAGTTCATCCCTCTGCTCGCCTCACGTGCCGAAGCAACGTATAGTTATAACCAGGGTGGTTTCAGCGTTGAAGCAATGGAAAATTGATGAAAATTGGGATGTACCTATCAAAAATATGGAAACATGTGGCAAAATGGTGGTCTAACCATGTGTAAACCCATGAACATATGGTGATTTGACCAATGAATGTTGGGATTTCACATGACTTAACCATCAAAAGTGGATCAACCCCAAAGACGAGACGTTGCAGCAGTTGATTGTGGGCATCTCGACATGTGCAAAACTTAAGAACCTCTTCGGTGTCTCAGAGGAACCCCTACTTGTCTGACACATCCATTATTTATTCCCCAATCATCCGTTTTGGTCAGGACAAAAAAAAGGTAAACCTGGTAAACCTGGTTGGTGGTTTCAACGCTCTTGAAAAACATACATCATTTCAGATCATCATTTCCGTAGGTCTCTCTCATCAGATTTGTAACCACCAACCAGAAGAGCTGTTTCTCTGGCAAATGGTTGCAGACCAAATAGAACTGGTTCAGCAGGGATGATACGAAGTCATCATACTCCGCTACGTCCACCACCAGCGGCTCGCTTTTGTTGGCGGCATGGGGGCCAGTCTCAGTAGCCGCAGTAGCCGGTTGGGTGTCAAGCACCAAGAACCAAAGCACAGCCAGGAAGGCCCAAACGACACAAAGAAGCCTGAGCTGAAACAGAGGCCACTGGCTGAATCATGAATGCATAGGAATAGAAATAGTAAGTCATGAGGATGGTCCGATTTGAAAATCATGGCAATCTGATGTTCATCTTTCCGTACCTGCTTTTGTGTCTTAAATACTTAAATAAGTCTATATATACATATATAATTAAATATACAACTACATAATTTAAATGTAATTATATATATACATAATTATATAAATAAAATTATATATATATAATCATATATATATATGCTACCTCCCCCCCCAAAAAAAAAAAAAACTACCTTTTTCACTGTTTCTTTCTTACCCCTCCCAATACCAGTATCTGATCAGTATCTATTTTGGCGACCCCCTGCTTGCAAGTGTTTTTTGAACACATCTTTTACAAGTTCCATTTTTCAAAATGCTGTGATAGTCCCCGCTGAAATGTCTGCCACCAGCAGCCTTGGCTAAATCCATTCACCAGCCACTCATCTGGCACTTGAAAATCATGTTTGCCCACCGGGGATCCCCAACCAAGCAATAATATTCCATATAATATACCCTCTGGTTATTTAACGTAGCCATGGGAAATGGCCCATTTATAGATGGTTCACCTATTAAAACTGGTGATTTTCCATGGCTATGTTAAATAGCCAGGGGATAATAATGGCAATGAATATCGAAACATATCGAAACATATCGAAACCATACCTGCATCATCGCAGCCGCTGTAGATCCACTGAAATCAACATTTGGAGTCCCAACCCCCTGCTTTGTAACAAATTCCTCTTCAAGCCTCCATTTTGAGTCCCAGTCACAAAGCGGTAAGTGGGCTGTTCATCCACTGATACTTCTTTTTGGCTAGGGCATCCAAGGGGTTTGCCCGAAATGAAACAACATGTACAAGTCAACGCATCAAATTGCTGGACAAATTGCTGCATCACGGAGGTTTCAACCTCTTGGGGTGAAAGGGGACAGATTTTTTGTCGACACCCTTCTACATGGGATATAGTACAGTACCTCATTAATCACATTCCCCCAAGATCCCCCAATATTAGGAATACCCCCAATCAGAAGAGACCCCCAATCCATGAAATAGATCCAATACATTCCGTTTGGCTTTCATTTCGGGGTGTATTTGATCTCGGAGGAAAACTCTTACATCCGGTTATTGCCTGCTGACTGCGCTTGTCACTATCTCTTGGTCTTGATATGTCTTGATATGTCTTGATGCTCTCCGTTTGGTGGTTTTGCCCCCTGAAAAATTGGTAAAGTCAATGAGGATCATCATCCCAGGGATGAAAAAGGAATGTTTGCAACCAGCAGCCAGTTGGTGTCTACTCACATTACTCACATCATCCACCAACTGGGCACATCCCCATGTTGCTTTAGCATCTTTGGGCCAGGGATCCCCGCCAAGTGACAGGAACACCACGCCTGGCAGAAGTCCAAAGGATGCCATGGTTGCTTTGGATTCGCGCGGCAGCCAGTAGATTCTCCGCACGAGGCGCAGGAGCCGCAAGGAGAGGACGGAGAAACGTCCTGGAGGAAACCATGAAGCCCAGGGTACCATGGCCACCATGGTGGGATCGTTGGGCAGAATTTTCAGCTTGCTGGTTGGATGATTTCTGGAATTCTTGGTGCTGTAATTCTTGGTTGCGGTGGCCACCCCTTTCCCTAAGATTTTCCATGGTTTTCCCTGGGTCAAAACTCAGACACCCGACGACATCGTCAGGTGATGTCCTGGGCCAATGGTCAGGGCCAAAGGCAGGAAAGCCTCGCAGTCTCCATCGCAATGAAAAAACAGCTTTGTACATCCATATGTTTGGCTGATATTAGCTGACTGTCCTAATTTCCATTCAAAATAGATCCACTCTTGTATTTCTTATGCAATGTTATATATATTATGTGATATCCGATGATCTAAACTGATGATTTCCCACCTTAAAAGCCTGATGAAAAAAGGGGATTTCTCTTTGCCTCGACCACACAGAGAAGCGCCAGCAGTAGATCGAACCAAAACCAGCTGGAGCGCCAGAAGCCCCAGGCGTGTTCTCCAACGAGCCGAACCAAGAACTCCACCAGGAAGAAAGCAAAATAGCCCAGGGAAATGCCTCAGCCGTGTTTGAAAAGAGTTGGTTAAGGTACCGTCTGAAGACTCTGAAAAAAGAGGCACCTGTAGCCTGTAGCTGCGGAAAATCAACATTGTTAATAGGATTTACTATGTATGTTACATACATTACATCGTAATTCAAGATGACATTAATTGAAATTGCCTCAACTTTCACATAGGAACACATTGGAATCCAAAATTGAACAACAAAACTGCATTGGCACCTCTATTTTGGAACTTTTACAATAGATCCCGATCTTGGGGCTGGATCTTCGAGAAACTAAGAAAAACTGAAGGTACCGGAGCAGCATGTCTCTTGTCAACAAAGATGCAGGAAGAAGATAATGACAACAACAAAAGCTGAAAGCACCAAAGATAGCACGTTTCGCAGCGAGGAACTGCGCCACATGTCTGGTTGATCTGTGGCATTATCAGCAACCAGAACCAATGCCACGCAGTGCAAGATTAGGAAAGAGAAGGCCAACAGGTGGAAGAACCATTTTGAGACGATCCAGCGGCAGCATTGCCAACACATCATTTGAGTCCTGAAGGAAAGGCCATTTCTGGACGGCACATCCGGGGGGGATGTGATGGTTATGGCGGTTATGGTTGAAAGCTGCAAGATCAAGATCCGACATCCGACATCTCCATGGGAATGCTGGTGTTTTTGCTGGATGTTCAAAGGTATCATCTCCACCCCTCTCCTGGGACAGAGCTGACATCGCATCTTTTTGGTCATTTTCTTCCCCAAGGCTCTGGACAAGGTGGTTCTCCGCGTCTTCCGGCTGAGACTTGCGCTCATCTCCTCGATATCCGCCTTGAAAATCTGCACTTGAAAAGGACAACAACGCTGTCCCGTCTGTTCCGGCACCATAGCTCGGGAAAGCTGGTGGCTTCAACCCATCAGAGATAATGCTAGCAGTATGCTAGCTATGACATCATCATCCCAAATGTAGCTGAACAAATGAAAGCACTAACAAATGATCGAAGGTGCCCAAAGATGCCCAAAGGGATACAGTTTGCAATTCCAACTAACATCGGATGTTTCGGGCGCTCCAACACTCTAGATTGCAAACCATAGCTGCCACCTTCCGGGATCATCCTTGCATCAAGATTTCTTGGATGTTTTTCGATGCTGGGCCGCCCAGGCCGTCCATAAGGTCAAAGATTCAATAATCCAACCAAGCTTCTGTCGCATCTTCAGATGCAACATTGGCTTTCATGACTTGCACCAAGAACTGTTTGAAGCTTGCTTCATCGGTCCTTGGGGAAGCACGAGGACAAGGCGACCCCTCTCGATCCACTGATCTGATGGATAGGGCTCTCCTAAACTATCCCTGCCACTTCCAGATTTCAAATAAGTTGGACCCCGAACTGGAAAACCAAACAAGTATCTTGGCCCCACTTCGAGCCCCAAACAAGAATAAAATCAAAAAATTCAACTCGAAACCCAGAAATCTGGCAATTACAAATTTCAAATAGGAAGTGTCTCTTCTAAACCATGTTTGGGCATGTTGTAGGGAAAATGTTCAGCGTGTAATCCCCATTTTTTGTTGACTACCCCCTTTTCTGGTGTGATTTCAATAGTATAAAATTACTCCCATAAATTCATATGTGAATTACATAAACATTCCTAAAACATCCTAAAACCACCAGTCAGAATTGCCAAGCTTCTGCCTGTGCAGCATGGGCAGGGAACGGTCGGAACTCTTCCGGATGCCCGACAAGCCAAGGCCTGAAACATCAAGCACGAGATCAAGGGATGAATTGGTTGGAGCACTCATACCAAAGATACCCTCTGGTAAACATATTAAACAAACAGGTTGCTATTGAAAATGGCCCAGTCGAAATAGTGGATATTTTCCCATTAAAAAGAGTGATTTTCCATAGTTATGGGACAGTTTACCAGAGGGTATTGTTGAAGTGGGGTCATCCATGTGGGGATGAAATGTTCTTCCCCGCCCCCATGGCGCATCCCGCGGCAAAGTCAGGACACTCCCTCAAGAAAGAAACACCCGAGACGAATTTCTTGCTTGAAAAAAGTGGACAATTTGATATTTGTGCATCATCGTCTCAAGCCCTAAGATCATCCACTCTGGTTGGTGGTTTTAACCATCTTGAAAAATATTAGTCAATGGGAAGGATTATCCCATATATTATGGAAAATAAAAAATGTTTGAAACCACCAACCAGCACTTAGTGCTTTCCCAAATATCAACAATCACATGTGGAAAAACCGTCTGAGATCACCGAAAAAAAATCATCCATTTTAAGGGAGGCCCACATCTGCCAACCTTCTCCCACTTCGGTAATCTGCCCTAATGCTCCCCCAACACCTGCGAACGGCACGAACAGGTGGGTTGGCTGGTATCTCCTGATCTTTCATGATTTATATGATTTGTCATTTGTCACATCAAAAATCTTGATGATGGGTCCATTTGATGGAGAGATGGTGCATCGAGCAGTCCTTGGTTCTAATGTGAGTTGGTGAGAAGCAGTTTCACCACGACGGCGGCATAGAAGCCACAACTGTTGGCGATCAAACTTCGGAGTAACCACTTCGCCAACTCCAACGTGGACTCTTGGACCCTTAATTTGAGGATGGTTTATGACATACTCACTCACTCACTCTCTCACTCACTCCACTCACTCACTCACTCACTCACTCACTCACTGATTGTACATTATATATATAATGATAATAAATAATTGATAATAATTGATAATAATTAATAATAATACATGTATGTATACCTTATATAGTAATAGAGTGCATGTATATCACTAGAAAAACATTCAGTAAAATTCTCTGCATCACCGTTTGACCCCGACGCCAGACCTGTCTTGATCTTGGCGCCGATGCCACCGATATTTTCAGTGAGATCTTGCATGGAACCCAAGGTGGTGCCAAAGTATTCCTGCATCCTGAACTGGGCCCCATGGGCAGTCAAACATGGCGAAATCCCCAAACTCAATGGAGCTATCTAGCTGGACAATTTATCGAAATGGGGGATTTTCCAGCAATGCCTTGTTTGATTACCGGAGGGTATTGGTCTCATGCAGATGCTGAGTCAGCAGTCAAAGTGAAGCGAAAGACTCGAACGTGTTTCAGAATGCGTGAAGCGTGAAGTCGCTTGAATTCTTTCAGGGCCATTCAGCAGCGTAGAAAGCATAGCAAACCCTTCCAAAAAACACAGCATTAACAGCCAAACACAAAGAAACCGGCCCAAACACCGACTAAAATGTCGCCACAAATGTAGCGTTTGGTATCGCGCCGCTTCACCATTCAAGTTTCGGGTGGAAACCCCCAATTTTTTTCCATTTCACCTCCAGATTTCGCCGAGGGGCATCCCCTTCTTGGGTGTTTCCTCTGGACCATCCGAAACTTCGGAGTCGTCGACTTTGGACTGCTCCGCATTTTCGGTGGCTGCGTTGGAGGTGGCTTCGCTGGTGGCAGGGGCGGCCTGATGGGATGAAAGGATCCCGGGATTTTTTGTGTCTACGATATGTTTTTCTTCTTCCATTTGTGGCTATGTATATGCATATGTAAAGATAGATATGTATACCTGTAAGTATGAATCGGTGCGTGAATTTTTTGTATATAAATATTAAAACAATAAAAAAGAACCTTTAGTGATTTGTATGTATATACATACATATTATTATATATACGAGTGGCGGACAAAATTACTTACTATACCCGCAATGGACATGGCCAAAGTGGGTGCTCCTCTATCGGTTGTGAAGGTTTGTATCGGTAAGTCAATTTGAACATGCCATGTCCACTCCCCACTACTTTAGTCTTCCGCTATTTTTGTCGCTTACTCATATATGTATATACTGCATATATATATAATTATATATATATCATAATATCCAAAACCCCTCCAGTCGCTGCCCCCTACGCCTTCTGGTTGGCCGAAGTATCAGCAGAAGCCATGCCTTGCACTCAGGCTGGGGATAGGCTCTTCAGAGCTAATCAGTAGGATTTTCATAGGCTTTAATGGTACTTTAATGGGGATATATAATTTGATTTTAGTAATACACTTTAGTGGGATTTAACTGATTTAACCAGCCGAAATGACGATTTAACCAATTGACCATGGAAACTGGGTGTGCCGGAAAATGGTGGTACACCACCCAATTTGCGATCTCAAGATGGAAGATCATTTGTCACAGCAATTCACCAGCCTGATATGAGCTATTTTGAGGACGAGTTGATTGTTCCCCCTACGAAAAAGCAACCTTTAAGTTGTCTACATACCTATATGTACCTCTCTCGCCATCTCCCATTTGAGATGGATGGAGAGGGAGGTCAGGTTGATTCAAGATGAATAGGCTATGGATGGCTATGGGTAGCCCATTAATATATGATACCATAGTCATTAATAGGCTATGAATAGGATATACTTATGGCTATACTATATTATACCATAGTCATTAATAGATTTAATAGGCTATATTACTGTATATCATAACTTTAGTATGAGCTGCACAGACATGCGAAATGATCCTGTGGTGAATGATTGCAGCCTAGCTGGTGGACACACGAATTATATGATCATTCTCAGGAACTATGCTCATCATCTTGTTTTTTACATATATATATATATATGA